GGACATCAGAGAATGAGGGATTCAGTCCCAATACAGCTGTATGATTCTAGTCATATAAAATGCTAAAGTAGCAAACTCAAGTGCGGTGTTGGAAGTCGTTACCTGTGGGTGGCAGGGAGGGAACATGACTGGGAGGTGACGTGGAAAGGGCTCCCGGGAGCTGCTGGGTTCTCGTAGAGACCTGACCTGGGCAAAGTGTCTCAGGGAGTGTCCATTTTGAGATAACTTGGTGAGGTGTATACCTTTATGATCTCTGTGTTTATGAATATGTGTATTCTATTTCAATAAAAGATTTAAAAAACATTCTTATGAATCATATTGGCAGGGTTGCCTATACAGGAGGCAGCAGGGACGAGGAATGTGGGTACAAAGGAGAATCAAACGCAGGGAGGCAGGTGGGCAGATGGTGAGGTTGCCAGACGAGTAGATGCCATGGGCACCATGACAGCAGCAGGGTTGTTACGGCCAGTTGGTACAGGCTAGGATTCTGTCCCTCCCTCATGTTCAAGGGGTATCACAGTGGGCTGGAATCTGGGCGCAGTAGGTCATGCCATTGCTCCTGACTCCAGCATCTCACCTCAGAACATCCGTTTCAGTCCCGGCTGCTGCATTTCTAATCCAGCTGTCTGCTGGCCACCCCGGGAAGCACAGGTGAGGCCCAAGCACTTGGGGCTCTTGCCGCTCACATGGGAGACCCACATGAGATTCCTGGCTCTTCAGCCTGGCCTGGCCCTGCTTGGGTGACTATATGGGGTATGAACCAGCACATAGAATCAATTTATTCTCTGTCTCTGTTTCTCTGTCTCTGCAGGAAAGCAGAGGGTTGGAGGGAAGGGACGGGGAGGAGGACAACTGCTGTCGAAAACACACTAGAGTAGCCCAAGATCCGGAAGCCAGGGCAGCAGTCAGTCCCAAAGAGGACAAGTCAATGTCAAGTGTAACAGTGAAGGAGCTAGAACTGAGGGGCAAATGGGCAGTCCCTGCTGGGGAATTTCATTGTCACAGAAGTGAGGTCACAGAGTATGAACCCACGGAGCTGCCAGCCAGTACCCGGGGGGAACTGGGGAGGGTCAGCCTTCTCCAACTGCGGCTCTCTTGTCTGCTTAGCCCCTGACAAGCCCCGGGCTGAGAAATGCTTCTACCCGCCCGCCCGCCCGCCCGAAGGGAGGCTGGCTGCCTGCCGGTGATGAAGGATGGACAAGCCGAGATACTCGGGGCTCCGCTGGCTGCCTGCTGGTGATGAAGGATGGATATTGCTGCTCTAACCACAGGGAAGTGGCTCCAGAGGTGATTTCCGGGGTCACCATGGGGTTTCTGAGAACAGAGTTAACACCAGGTAGGGCCCTGGGGTGTGTCGGAACACACACACACTCTACTGGTTTTAACACACATGTCAGGCCCGGTGGCATGGCCTAGTGGCTAAAGTCCTTGCCTTGAACGCACTGAGATCCCATATGGGTGCCGGTTCTAATCCCGGCAGCTCTACTTCCCATCCAGCTCCCTGCTTGTGGGCTGGGAAAGCAGTTGATGACGGCCCAAAGCCTTGGGATCCTGTACCCATGTGGGAGACCTGGAGGAAGTTCCTGGCTCCTGGCTCTGGATTGGCACAGTACCAGCCATTGCGCTCACTTGGGGAGTGAATCATCGGACGGAGGATCTTCCTTTCTATACCTCCTCCTCTCTGTATATCTGACTTTGTAATAAAAATAAATCAATCTTTTAAAAAAACCACACATGTCCACTCGTGGTCAGCACGCGAGTGAGAGGTTTGACTCGGCTGGCAGGACAGAGTGGGGTGTTACCCCCTAGAGCTACAACAAGTGTGCCTTCTCAGGGCTCCGGCTGCACAGTGTGACCTTGGCCTTTCCAAGGGGATAGGTACATCTCCAGGGTCAAGCAGGAACCTTCTCAAGCCTTCCGGAGTCACTCCTGGAAACTCACTCCACATCTCTGTCCCGTCATCTCTTATTCCTCTGAGTCCATTTCCCAGGCCCTGAGAGTGGTCCCTGCCCCCAGGCACTGACCGCACATAAATGTCAGGGGTCCCTCGTTTCCCTGGAGCACTCCTTACCCCAGTCCTTGCTCACTGCTGATCTGCGGTTCCTGAGGGCCCTTCCCCCATCCTGCTCATCTCTCCCATCTGCTGTTGACTCACTTCATTTTCTAATTGACACTGGGGTGTGTTAGAGGGGACTGGGGATGGGGTGGCCAGAGCTCCAGGGAGTGGAGGGTCCCCACCCTCCTCAACTGCCCAATGTCCAGGGCTCCCCTGAGATAAGGGAGACTGGCTCAAGGGCAGCAGCTGCGGGGTGCTGAGGGACCCAGGCTCAACAGCTGCTGTTGCCAGAGGTGACTCCTCGGTAAAGAGTGAGGAATGCAACTCCACCCAGAAAACCCACAGCGCTGGTCACTCAGTCAGCTTCTCTTCTGTTCCCCCTGTTGGACTCAGAACGCCCCTCACTGCTCATCACTTCTCATCTCAGGCAATGGGGAGTCACCAAAAACCTGTTCATCCAGTCTCTTCCGTGGGGCAGGAAAAAAAAAAAAGGCTGAAAAAAAAAAAACCCACAAAAACATAACAACAACAAAAATCCTCCCAAACCAAATAGATCTTCAGGAACCAGGAAAAAGTGGGATCCTTGTTCATGCTCAGCCTGGGATTCCAAGCGCCCACTGTGGTCCCCAGCCTGGGAGCGGAGAGGAGCAGCCTGCCCACCTGCAGCCCTGGGAGGTGATGGTGGGGTTAGTCCTCACTTTAGGGGCGTCATCCATGCCCAAGGCCTCACACTCCTGTTGGTACCCAGAAGTCTGTGTCCACCCCCCAACACCAGGGGAAATAGGCTGTGTGTGGCCAAGGACATGGGGGTCAGCTTAAGGTTGGGGGGACTGGGGAGGAGCCAGGAGCTGGATGTGGATCATTTGCTGTGTGGTTCCTGGCAGAAGTTGAAGGAAGGAACTCGGCCAGTGGGCCAGACAACAGGACCGGTGCCCGTGCTGCCTTTGCCCCACCCTGCCCCCTCCTCCTCTTTACCCACCCCAGGGGAACCCAGGCTTCCGGCACCCTGCTCCCCAGCTGTCTCCCAGGGACACTGCCCTTCCAAGAGTGAGTTTACCAGCAGGCCCTGGGGTGTAGCCACCAGCTGCTCGCACCCCCCTCACAGGACCCAGGAGTCCAGAGATTTCTGCTCCTCTCCCTTCCCAGGCTGTCTGGGTTCCCTGTCCCATCTGGCAGATCAGCCAGCCGCCTTGTCCAGGAAGTAGGCTCCTTCTGCCTGGCAGCTGGCCCAGGGTGTGGCCTCGGGGCAGACTCCACTATAAAGCCTGGCCTGTGGGGTTCTCACCCAGCAGCTCCAGGGACCTGCCGGTGAGAAAGGCTGGGGCTCCTTTGCAACGGGCGGCGGGGGTGGGATGGGAGGAATAGCAGGTCCTCCACCTTGGCCCCCACACCTGCTGCAGAACCCATCTCCTCGGCATACTTCCTGGCCCTGGCTCCAGCCCACCCTGTCTCAGCTAGCTTCTCTCAGTCTCTCGGCCTTCTTAGCACCCTGGGGGGCCTGGTACCGAGGTCTGGCTGCTTCTCTCCTCCTGGGCTGGAGGTGACGGTCCAGCATCCCAGAATTACTTACTTCTCTTTTCCATTTGCAGCCATGGGTTCCCTGAGGAGCTGGTGGTCACTCTGGGCCGGAGCAGCCCTCCTATGGGGTAAGTCTCACCCACTCCCTTCCCCTTTTCCTGGTCCGAGTCCTTCTGGGTCAGCATCTGTTCTTGCGCATGTGTCCACACATGCATCTCCCAGAGCCAGCCCATGCTGGTAGGGATGGAACAGAGAACTGATGTTTCTGCAGAAAAATCTGGTAGGGTCTGCCCATTCTTGCTTCTCTGGAGAGATGGGGCTAAACCCCTGGAGCCCCAGAGTCAAGGTGGGGGCCACTTAGCCAAGACTTGGCTGGGGGTCTGTTTCTGCCCAGGTGATGGTTGATATCACAAAGATGCTCCTGGAGGGCTTTGGGTCCCCGGTTCTCGTCGGGTTGTAGCCAAGAGTCTTAGATAAGCTCCTAAGGACTGGGGGAGGCTGGGGTCTCAGGGCCCCTTGACCTCGAGCCTCTGGTCCTGAAGGACATTGGGAACACTGTTGCAGGCTCCCTTTACTGGACAAGCTGACCTTCTGGCACCCGCAATTCTCTCTCTTTCCCTTCTCTCTCTCTCCGTACTGGGGAGTGTCTTCCTAGTTGGAGTGTTGAGAAGCTCACCTTCCCATCATCCTTCTCCTTCCTTTACCCCCTCCCACACCCCCGGCCCCCTCCCACCTGGAGTCATATTAAGACAAATCACCTGCTGGCAGCCAAGTGTAGGCAGTGTGGTCCCCATAGTCCTGCAATCAAATTTTGGGTTGAAGATATCACAGCAAAATGCAGAGAGACAGTGTCTTGAAATATAGGAATATCTAGCATTAAAAAAAAAGTGTGTAAAGAAAGCTGGCAGCAGCCACTGCCCACTTGCTGCGGTGCGGGCAGGCTCCAGCTCCCGCAGTCCCATCCGGACAGTGTGGCACATTGGCCTGATTTGCCTGCCCCGTCCAAAGAGTGGGCTTTTAGAAAACAAAAGCCAGAAAGGTTTAAGGTAAGTAGTGCACAAATAAGAACAAAGCCAACAGAAAAAAAGAAAAAAAAAATACCACTACCAAACCCGCATTGGTCAACCCACTTGCTGGCACTGGGCAAGGGCTTGGCTCAGTGATGGGGCAGATTCGATCAGTGCACCCACAACCTGCGTTTTCTCAAGGATGGACCCAGGAGGCTGCCTTGGATCCCGTGGATCCCAGTGCAAAGGGGGCAGGGATTTCTGATGACTTTTCTGCAGAACTACCAGCCAGGGGACGGTGCTGCCTCCCTCCACCTGCTCATTTCCAGCCTGTTGGGGAGCTCTGCCACGGTCTTTGTGCTCAGCCTGGTGGACAAAACCTCACGGAAGGTCATAGCCAGGCTTGGGCAGAGAGAGCCATGGTCAACAGCAGTGCCACGGCTGAGATGATTGGTAGCACGTGATGGTGGTCCACTCTGACCATGAGGTCTTGCTGCTGGCCTTACTGTAGCCTGGCAACACCTTGGGCAAGGAGCACTTTGTGCTGGTGCTTCTCAGCCGGGGCGTTGGTCACTATCAACCTGAAGGGGGCATTGGCGTTCCAGCACAAGATTCATCCAGCCAGTGGTGTCCTGAGCATGACCCTAAAGTCCTATGAGGTGGCCCAGGTACAGGGCACTGTAGATCTCTCGGGGTCCAAGGTCACGGCCAGCAGCCTCGTGGCTGTCCTCTCTGGTCACAGCTGTGCCCAGAAGCGCACCAACTGCAACCATGTGGTGGAGCAGCTGCTGCCCACATCTGCTTGGGGGCATTCTGGCCTCTCAGAGCTGCTTCGATCTAGCCTATGTAGTAGTGATCAGCCAGGCCATGAAGCTGACCTATAACCACGGGGGTACCACTGGCTGTTGGAGCCTCCAGATGGGGGACATAGTACAGTTTGAGGTGTGGCCGTCCCGGCATCGCTACCTGTCTGCAGATGTGGGCATTCAGGTCCTGTTCTTTGGCACAGTGGCGATAAAGAATGGTATGACCTATGGCCCCTACCTGGCCCTAGTCCCAGATGTGGCAACTTACTGTCACATTCACATGGTCCAAAGTGTTCGGAGCACTCTGGGCGTGGCTGCAGTGATGACCTAGACCAAAGTAGTGGGCTAACCGTGGATGGGGACACACTGAAGGCCTGGCTTAACTGGGTGGCTGTGCCAGGCAGTGAGTTCTTATATGCTGAAGTGGACCCAGGCATAGCTAATGGGACTCACACAGTTAGTGCCAACACCAGCATCAAGCTGCTCGCCTTCAGGCTGGGTCAGACTGTGGGCTTTGGGACAGCAGCTGCCTGCAGTCACAGTGGGTGACAGGAAGTGACCCTTTGTGCCCCTGGCGTCCCTTTTCCCACCTGCCTGCTCCCGTGGGGCTCTGCGGCTCCACTGGGCTATGCAGCTCCATCCTCCTTGACATTCTTTTCTTGAGTCTTCTCAGGACACAGAAAGCACCCCAACTTCGAGGGGCCGCTCTTGGGCTTGAATAATCATGGAGAGGAGGAATTGATGATCACTTGGGGTAGCTGACATCAGCTTTAACACTGGGCTCCATTCCTTATTTTTTTGAGGTTTTGATTTCTTCAGCCATTGCGGTGTGGTGTGTGAGTTGGAGCTGAGACTTGGGGTGTCCACTTCCCAAATCAGAGGGTCTGTTGGAGCCTCAGCATCTCCACTTCTCCCCAGCTTCCTGCTAATGCACCCTTGGAGAGGGTAGATAATGGCTCAAGCCCCCGGGTCCCTGCTCCGATGTAGCACTGGGCTCCTGCTTTTGAACAGGTCCAGCGCCAGCTGTTATAGGCACCTAGGGAATGAACCAGTGAAGGAAAGCTTCTCTTTCTCTTTCCTTTCTCTCTCTGCTTTTTAAACAGACAAAAATAACTAAACCTTTTATTATTTTTTTTAAAGAAAGCAAATAAAAAAAATCATGTTGGCACATTTGCCGGATTTCCTTATGATGAACAAGGGATCATTATCTTAATACATTCTCATCTTTCAAATGAGGAAATTGCGGGACAAAGAGATGGAAAAATTGTTTGTCTGGTGTTACTGAGCCCATTGACTGAACCAGGCTTGCTGCCTAGGCAATCTGACCCACGCCAGTCATCTCCAGCAGGCTGAGCAAGCTCTGTCTTTTGTTTCCTGTTCCTAAAAACAAATTCTTATCCTTTTGAGCCTGGTAGGATGGTGGGGAAGAGGGAGAAGTAGAGAAAGAATGATGAAAATGACAGTTCCCTCCATCCTTCTTCACTACCTTCCATCCTTTCGGCTGCCCCATGTTAAACTGAAGAATCCAACAATCAGGACTGGGCAGCTCTCTCTGTGAAAGCCCAGACCTCAACTGCTCCCTGTGGACACTTTTTATTTTATCTGAATAGCAACGAGAGAGAGAGAGAAAGAGAGCAGAAATTCCATCTACTAGTTTGTTTCCTTTATAAGAGTCCAACACCGCAGGGGCTGAGCCCCGAGGGAGCCAGGAGGCCCAACTCCATGCCAGGGTCTTACCTGGGAGAGGGGTAGCCCAACTCTGCCGCCTCCTAGGGTACAGGCAGGAAGCTGGAACCAGGAGCCCACGCTGGGAATCTCACCAGGCACTCATGTGGGCCCTGCTAGGCCAACTCCTGCTCCACTTCTGGCAGCGTCTGACTTTCTGCTTCTTCTTTCTTGCCTAGCTGCTGTGGCCCTGGGTGAGGCAGAGTCCAAGGCTGTGTGCCGTGCCCAAGGAGATCCCCACTACACCACCTTCGATGGCCGTCACTACAATATAATGGGCACCTGCACATACTCCATGGTGGAGCTGTGCGGCACGGACCCGACTCTGCCTGCCTTCGCAGTGGAAGCCAAGAACGAGCACCGGACCAGCCGCCTTGTCTCCTACGTGAGCTTGGTCACTGTACGCGCTTACAGCCAGGTTGTGATGCTGGCCCGCGGGGAGACCGGCTTTGCCCGGGTGAGTGTCGGGAGGCTGTCGGCATCCGTGTCCACAGTGTCCGTCTTTGCTGTGGGGTGGGGAATGGGATATTGGAAAGAGGGTAGGAAATCACTAGCAGGGTTTGAAACCATTTCTAGGAATTCTAAAGATGCTCAGATAGGTAATTAAGAAAATAAATATGCTAATATGGTTTTAGAGCAGTAAAAAAAAAAAAAAAAAAAAGATGAATAAACCACTGAGTGTGGTGAACACCTGTTAAGTGCCCCGTCTGGTTCTTAGCACCCACACCTCCCCTTGCCTGGGTGCACTTGACACTCACAGTGACTCTGGGAGGAGGCGATATGATTAGGGGCTTGTCCTAGTGTTACGAAATGAAGACGCGAGAGCTCTCTGGGGTCCCTTGTGTAAGAGCACTGGTTGACCTCGTGAGTCTCCCACTGCCTGCTGCCACCACCACGTTGTGGGTTAGGAAGTCGACACTTGAATTTTGAGAGGCCACTAGCGTCCCATCTTTAACACCTGGCTGGAAGGACAGGCAGCTGTTTGTCTGCACCCAGGACATTGGTGCCGGAAGACGCTTCCCACTCTGTCCCTACAGCTTCCTTGTGCCTTAAGGCTAGGCTCAGCTGTTCCCTTCTCTGGCGAGCCTGTGTTGGCCTTGTCCCTCCTCTTTCTTCTATTTCTCCCCCTTTTTTCTAAGTTTCTACAGCTATCACTTCCTCCCTGAACTCTGCACTGTCCCTTGACTGTTGCTGGGCCTGTCCTCACTGGGATGGAGAGCCCTAAGAGGCTAAGGCCTGGAGCTTTGTCTTGGTTCACATAGGATCTCTCAGGCCAGGGTCCAGTGCCAGGTGAGTGTCCAGGGGAGATGGATGTAATCCAGCGGTGACTAAGGGCGCACCTGCTGCTTGGGCCAGGGTCAGTGATCAAGGTGTTTCCATGGAGCAATGGCAGCACGGCCCAATGATGGACACCATGAATGTGCAAGTTATTGTCAAGAAAGCTAGAAGTTGTTCCTAAAAGACAATAGGGGAGGGATATAGAGAATGGAGAGGTGTGACTGAAATAGGGTTGCAAGAGGGAGTTGGGCCTAGTAGTTAAGAAGCTAGGCCAGATCCTCACTCCCTGTGTTGGAGTGCCTGGGTTCGATTCCCAGATCTGGATCCCGATCTTAACTTTCTGTTCCTGAAGATCATGGGAAGCACTGATTGGTCCCTGCCGTGTATGTGGGAGACCCAGAGGGAGCTCCTGGCTTCCAGCCCAACCCTGACTGTTGTAGACATTTTGGGAGGGAATCAGCAAATGGGATCTCTCTTTTTCTTCAAAAAAGTTTTTTTTTTTTTTATAAAGCAACAGTAACATTAATAAAAAAGGGTGGCATCACAGGACATCTGAACAAATATTTGATACAAGACAAGGATGAGAGCCACGTGTGTATGATGGGCAAGATGGGTGAGATGGTTTCAGGCCACAGAAGTGGAAGACCAGAGCTCTGATGGCTCAGTGTGGAAGGAGCTGGAAAGAGCAGATGAGGTATAAGTGGCCAGCCAGTCCAGGGCTCTGACCACCTGCATTTCACCCTCTTTGCAGATCAACAACCAGCACTCCCTCCTGCCAGTCTCCCTGAATGAGAACCACGTGCGCGTGTATCAGAGTGGGACCCGGGCTGTGGTGGAGCTTGACTTTGGACTGGTGGTCACCTACGACTGGGACTCCGTGATGACAGTGACCCTGCCTGACAGATTCAAAGACCAGGTGTGTGGGCTGTGCGGCAACTACAATGGCAACCCTGATGACGACTTCCTCACATTTGACGGCGTGGAGGCCTCGAATGCCGTGGAGTTGGCTAACAGCTGGAAATTGGACGACGGGGATTATCTGTGTGATGACGGTTGCCTAAACGACTGTCCTTCCTGCAGTAAAGATGAGACTGACTTCTATGAGGGCGACTTCATGTGTGGCCTGCTGACCTTGACCGAAGGCCCCTTCTCCACATGCCACGAGGCCCTGGACCCCAAGCCCTTTATGAGCGACTGTGTGTATGACCTGTGCGCAGCCAGCGGGGATCAGAACAGCCTGTGCCGTGCTCTGAGTGCCTATGCCCAGGCCTGCATGGACCTGGGCTTTACGCTTGGGGACTGGAGATCATATGCCAGCTGCCGTGAGTGATGCTGCTGTGGGGGTGGGGGAAAAGGACGGGGGTGGGGAGTGCTGGGAGCACACAGGGATAGATGAGGTGCCTCTTGAATCTCAGCATTTGGCTGAACCAAGTGGGGATGCAAGGATGGCCAACCCCGCTGGGCTGTGCCCCACAGTGAGTCCAAGGTCAGGGCAAGCATACATAGCATGCTGGACAGGGATACCCCATAGCGGTCAGGCTGGGGTTACAGGTGGGTGGGAGGGGTGCAGGGAAGAAATGTGCAGATCCTCTCCCCACTAAGCACCCTTTTGTGACTTGCTCTTAATGTCTCAGTCCTCTAGCCTCCTTTGTTAAGCAAGCATTCCTTGGACTCCCTGCCTGGTCCTGGCTGATAACACAGCGAGGGCCAATGACAGATCTTCCCTTGAACCCAGAGAAATGTTTAGGAGATGGAGAGGATAGGGGGAGGGCAGAAGAGAAGGAGCCACTAAGTTCAGGGGAAACACAGAGGGTGTATGGGACTTGTCTGGGTCACTGCTGTGTCCCCCACCCTATACCTCCAGTATCCAGCACCAAGAGGAAGCAGTGGTTTCATCGATTCTCTGCTCCCCCCCCCCAATTTATCCACAGCAGGTGTGTTTTTGCGCTTGCTTCATTTCTGAGCATCCCCTGCATGCCAGGCTCTGTCCATGGTGCTGAAGGCTCAGCGATGAGAGAGACAGGCACTTGGAGAGATTCCCAAGACACATCCCAGTGGGCGGAGGGACAGACAGGTGGTGCACAGTCCAAGTGCTGAATCTCTTCAGAGAGTGATGGAAAGGAAGTTTTCACGCCGTGGAAGTAACTGGGGGATGCTTAGAACAGGAATGGTTTTTATGGGCAGATGACTTAGGTGCCGAGAACAGGGTCAGGTGAGGCAATCAGCTGATGTTCCTGGAAGACCTCAATGTAGATGAGCCCTCTTTAGCCTTACACCAACCCTGTGAGGCCAGTGCTGGGCTATCCCCTTCGCCAAAAGGAAAACTGAGTCACAACGGGGATATGGAGCATTTGCTCATGATCACACACTAGGAAGCAGACAGAGCTTGGGTCTGAACCTGGGCCTTTGGGGCTCCAGGACTCTTATTGTATGGATATCACACTGGCCTTCTGAGAGAAAAACCAGTGCAAAGGTCCTGGGCATGAGTGGAAGGAGGTACAAAGGGAGACAGAGAGCAAACGAGGGAAGAGAAGTGATGGAGGCAGAGGATGCCGGGTCTCAGGGGTCACTGACTAGAGCTCAGGAGAATACTGATAGGGGTCAGCCCTCCTATGATTCAGGTGCTTCTAGGATCTTCTTGCTGCTTGGGGGGAGCAGATGTGAGTCCTGTCAAGAGGTAGATTCCGGATAAGTGTTGAACCTGCAAGCTTCTGGGACACATTTGCAGGTGGGAAGGAAGCTGATCAGGGCAGTACTGAGGTGTAGGGCCCTCGGGGAGGAGCAGGTTGGACGTGTCGGTCCCTGAATGGCAGTACATGCAGAGTAGGCAGGCGGGCTAGGGAAGGCTCCCCTATCCATCACAACAGCGCTGACCTACTCTCTTGTGCCTTTCGCCCACAGCCATGTCCTGCCCAGAAAACAGCAAATATAATTCCTGTGGGCCTGCCTGCCCTGAAACCTGCAACCCAGATTTCACGTCATCCAACTGCTCTGAGCGCCCTTGTGTGGAGAGCTGCGAGTGCCTCCCAGGCTTTGTGGCTAGTGGTGGTGCCTGCATTCCCCAGTCATCATGTGGTTGTTCGTTTGAGGGCCACCTGCTGGCACCAGGCCAGGAGGTGTGGACTGACGACAGATGCAGACAGCGCTGCACCTGCAATGGCGCCACCCAAGAAGTCAGCTGCATCGACACGCAAGGCTGCCCACCTGGCGAGAGCTGCCGTGTGGAGAATGAACTCTTGGGTTGCTACCCAGGCAGCTTTGCCACTTGCCAGGCCTCCGGTGACCCACACTATGTGACCTTTGATGGCCGCCGCTACGACTTCATGGGTGCCTGTGTGTACCTGCTGGCGGGCTCGTGCAACCAGAACTCAGCGCTGCCCGAGTTCCGGGTGCTGGTGGAGAATGAGCATCGGGGCAGCCAGGCCGTGAGCTACACACGTGCTGTGCGGGTGGAGGTATACGGCATGGAGTTGGTCATTAGCAAGGAGTACCCAGGACAAGTGATGGTGAGCAATTTGGGGCCCCATGCTGGGGGAAGGTATAGGGGCTGGGGCAGGAAAAGGAAAAACGCTAAGGCTCCCAGTGGAGTTAGATGTCCCTGTTAGAAGAAATGGTTGTAAAGTGGTTGGGGACATGTCACCAAGCCAATGGGGCTCCCTCTTCTTGCCTGTGTGACTTGGTCACTGCCTTAGGCTTGTCTTCCTCAAAGGTATAAAAAGAAAGAAGGGCCCCTGAGCAGGTGACATTTCACAGGCAGGGGTGGGGACTTGAGGGAGGTTTGCAAGACACCCCAATGCCCAGCACTCGGTCAGTGTTGCCAGTGATTGTGGTCGTAATGCAGTCAGAATCTCAGATGTGTGCATTTTTGTAGGTTTTTTTTTTTTGGGGGGGGGAGCAGTATAACAACATGTCAGGTGACAGATGTATGTGAGGAGCTAGAGGGGAATGCATCACAGGGGTTCTCACCCTCCTGGGGTGCCTAGTGGTCCAAGGATTCAGTCTAGGGGGTCTCTTCCCATTGAAAGCAGAGAACCAATGACTTTGAATAGAAAGGTAAGAATGGAGAAGGACAGTGTTGGGAGACACACAATAGCTGGTATTGATTAGTGAGAAGTTGTGGGCAGTGATGCATAGCACGTGGATTAGGACTGAGTGGGAGAGTGGTAGATGGGAGACAGAGAACTTATAACCCTGGAAAACACATAGGAAAAAAAAAAAAGGAAATTCTGATCTTAGAGAATACTCCAGATAAACAGAGGACAGAATCACCAGTTTGTATTCTTACTAACTCCTCTCTGAGAGGACAGTTAGCCTGAGACTAGAAACAATAACCAACACATAGTAACCAACATGTGCCATATTCACATGTATCAGTTCACTGACTTTGCACCACAACCTGTGTTGCTGGTCTTGAGATTGGGCGGGGCCTCTGTAGGATTGGGCGGAGTTTCAGTGATTCTGGCCTGGGCTAAGAGATGTGGATTTAAGCCAACGTCTGGAAGGGATGACAAACGTTCAGACAGGGGGGTCAGTAGGTACCAGGCCCATGGTGGGATTGAGCATGATTTGTTCAGTGGCACAGCCTGGAGACCAGGAGAGCTGGAGCCCTGGGAGCCATGGAAACAGGAATGCCCAGCCCTTCTAACCACCCTAGTCACCTCCTTTCTCTCCCCCAGGTGGATGGCGTGCTTCAGTACCCTCCGTTTGAGGCCGCTGGAGGGCGCGTGCAGGTGAACCGCCTCGGTAACAATGCTGCCATCCACACAGACTTTGGCCTGACTGTCACCTTCAACTGGGATGCTCTAGTGACTGTCAAGGTGCCCAGCAGCTACACAGATGCCATGTGTGGTCTCTGCGGGAACTTCAATGAGGACCCCAACGATGACTTGACTCTGCGGAATGGCAGCCAAACGACTGATGCCACAGACTTCGGGAACAGCTGGCAGGAGGAGGAGACGGGCCCGGGCTGTGAAGCGACTGGACCCACGGAATGTCCCAACCTGGACGAGATGCTGAATGAACAGCTGCAGAAGAAGGAGAAGTGTGGAATCCTGGCCGACCCCAATGGTCCCTTCCAGAAGTGTCACAAGAAGCTGGATCCTGAGGCTGTGGTTCGTGATTGTGTCTATGACCTCTGCCTGGTACCAGAACAACCTGATCTGTTGTGTGATGCGTTGGCCGCGTATGCAGCTGTGTGTCAGACTGCCGGGGTCACCCTTGATCCATGGAGAAGCGATACACTTTGCCGTGAGTACTGGCCGTGGCGTGTGTGTGTGTGTGTGTATGCATTAGTAGGCGTACATGCTTGTGCCTGTGACTATGAGGAGGAGGGGTCAGCATTATGTGGATGCATTAACATGTAAATATCATCCATTCAGTTCGTTGTTACAGTGGTCCTATGACAAAGGGACTGTAGATCCGCTTTTAAGAGATGAGGAAAGTGGGCCCAGCGGCATGGCCTAGTGGCTAAAGTCCTCGCCTTGAATGCACCCGGGATCCCATATGGGCACCGGTTCTAATCCTGGCAGCTCCACTTCCCCTCCAGCTCCCTGCTTGTGGGCTGGGAAAGCAGTCAAGGATGGCCCAAAGCTTTGGGATCCTGCACCTTTGTCGGATACCCGGAAGAAGTTCCTGGATCCTGGCTCCGGATTGGCATAGCATCGGTTATTGCGGTTACTTGGGGAGTGAATCATCAGATAGAAGTTCTTCCTCTCTGTCTCTTCTCTTCTCTGTATATCTGACTTTCCAAAAAAAAAAAAAAAAAGAAAGAAAAAGAAAGAAAGAAAGAGAGATGAGGAAAGTGAGGGTCACAAAATTGAGACACTCTTGGGATCAAGGCAACTAGAATGTCCTAGAGGATTGGCGTGCCACCGATGTCTGGGAAAGGACAGCTGGCATCCCATCAGTGGCACCTTGCCTGACTCCCACCTGACAGCCGTCACTCAGAGATGAAGTGGCAGTGCTGCTTTGTCTTGTTCTTTTCTTTTCTACCTTCCTTCCTTTGTTATTTTCTTAAGATTAATTATTCGGTGGCAAACTTACAGAGTAAACGAGAGACAGAAAGATATCCGGCCTCTGGTTCTCTCCCCAAATGGCCACAAGTTGGTGCTGAGTCGATCTGAAGCCGGGAGTTTCTTCCCAGTCTTCGATGTGAGTTTAGGGTCCCATGGCTTTGGGCCATTTTCTATAGCTTTCCCAGACCACAGGTAGAGAGCTGGGTGGGAAGTGGAACAGCTAGGGCAGGATCCAGTACCAGTATGGAATTCTGGCCCTTGTAAGGGGAGAATAAGCCAACTGAACCATCACACTAGTCCCGGGTGTACTTTTATGAATAGCCCCATCCCTTGATCAAGCTGTCCTGGTCTACTTGTGGCCTGCTCTGCTCGTGAGAGCTTCCAGAATCCAGCTGTTAGTGCAGGAGTATTCTCCCAGAAGTCTGAAAAACCATATGTTCCCGCCTCGGCTCTGGTTTGACCTGTTTCCTGTTCAGATGGAGGCCAGGCAGAAATAAGGATAGGCACAGGGATGGAAAGAGGCCTGGTTTATTCTGTGTTTATTTTACTTTTGCAGACTTCCTGTCTGCTGCATAGAAGGCATTGGAATTTGGAGTGAAGAAAGGGAAGCTGAGAGGTCTTAGGTGTAGCGACAGGTGTTTGTTCCACTTTACCGTGCTATTTATCACTCTTCCAATAATCGTTTCAATACTATTGCTAGTTAAAATTACTAAGATTCTACTTTGACGATCATGTGGAAGAGTGAACCTAAGACAACCGGAATTGTATTCCATGCATAGGAAGCAAGGAGGTACACATGCAAGGGAATGATTAAATCAAGCCCCAGGTAACATCTTACAACTAACCTGATGGGGCAATTACATTTCGGATAAATCACTTCAATTGCAGCCAGACTGATATGAGTTGTTATTAACAGTGTTCCAGTGGTCAAGTGTGTTCCCCAGGCAGCATTGAACCCTGAGGACGCCAAGGCTGTGAATGTATCAGTGTATGTGAGCACATGTGAAAACACAAGGAGGTGTGAGGGTCTATAAGTCACGCTAAAGAGGAAGTTGAAACAAACAGCCTCCCTTTCTTCCTGCAGCGTTCAACTGCACAGAGCACAGCCACTATGAGCCATGTGCCCATGGTTGCCCGCTAACATGTGGAGAAGTTCCAAGGTCCGGAGCCTGCGGTTCTGAGTGCTACGAGAGCTGTGTGTGTGATGATGGATATTTGCTCAGCGGCAACTCGTGCGTGCCCATTAACTCATGTGGCTGTGTGCACAATGGTGCCTACTACAAGCCAGGCCAGACCTTCTATCCGGGCCCGAAGTGTGACTCCATCTGCAACTGCAAGGCGGGAGGTCAACTGTCCTGCGAGCCCTCCTCCTGTGGCCCACAGGAGACCTGCCAGGTGTCTGATGGTGTCTTGGGCTGCGTGCCCGTGAGTTCTGCCACCTGCCAGGCCTCTGGAGACCCACACTACGTGACCTTCGACGGCCGCCGCTACGACTTCATGGGCGCCTGCGTGTACCTGCTGGCGGGCACGTGCGGCTCGAACAACATGACGCTGCCCGAGTTCCGGGTGCTGGTGGAGAATGAGCATCGGGGCAGCCAGGCCGTGAGCTACACGGGCGCCGTGCGGGTGGAGGTGTACGGCGTGGAGTTGGTCATGAGCCGGAAGAAGCCAGGACAAGTGATGGTGAGCTAAGGGCAAAGGCAGTGGGTGTCGCTGTGTTTGAGGAAAGGGTGAGGGAATGGGAAAGGGAAAGGAAAAGGATTTTGGGGTGAAGGTCCTGGGTCGGGCTGAGCTGGGAGCGTTGCTGCTGGTGAGGAAGGTAGCAGGGCTGCAGCAGAGGAAGGGGAGGTGCGGGGCGAGCCGAGCCGGGCTGTGGGTGTGGTGGTGGGAGGCAGGCGCAGAGCATGGTGGCTGAGAGGTGTGGGTTTCAGGTGGTGCCTGGAGAGTGAGGGGTTGGATGGCGTTCCAGGCAGGAGAAGCAGCAGGTGCCAAGGCCCCTGGTGGGGCTGAGCACAGCCCGGAGACATGGTAGCCACACACGCCTGCAGGAACACCAGCTAGCTGACCCTCCTCATCCTTCTGGTCTCCTCCCGTCTCTCCCAGGTGGATGGCGTGCTTCAGTACCCTCCGTTTGAGGCCGCAGGAGGGCGCGTGCAGGTGAACCGCCTCGGTAACAACGCCGTGGTCCACACAGACTTTGGCCTGACTGTCACCTTCAACTGGGATGCTCTAGTGACTGTCAAGGTGCCCAGCAGCTACACAGATGCCATGTGTGGTCTCTGCGGGAACTTCAACGGGGACCCCAACGATGACTTGACTCTGCGGAATGGCAGCCAAGCAGCCAACACACCTGATTTCGGGAACAGCTGGCAGGAGGAGGAGACGGGCCCGGGCTGTGAAGCGACTGGACCCACGAAGGAATGTCCCAACCTGGACGAGATGCTGAACGACCAGGTGCAGAAGAAGGAGAAGTGTGGAATCCTGGCCGACCCCGAAGGTCCCTTCCGGGAGTGTCACCAACACGTGGATCCCCAGGGCGCTGTGCACGACTGTGTCTATGACCTCTGCCTGGTACCAGAACAACCTGATGTGGCGTGTGACACATTGGTGGCATACGCTGCCGCATGCCAGGCTGCCGGAGCCACCGTGTACCCCTGGAGGAATGAAACGTTTTGCCGTGAGTAGCCGCAGTGGCAGCTCTGTGTGTGTGTGTGTTGCCTGAGTGTTCTTGTGGGTAGGAGGTGGCAGCCTTCTGTCTGTCCATTGACATGCGATGCCATCCCATTCCGTTCATGCTTTAAGAGCCCCCTGATGTAGACACTGTGGTTATCCTGAGCCTAAGGGTAGAGATGGAAAGAGTGAGATTCAGAAAGTTGAAGTTCTAAGCCTGGGGTGATGGCAACTCGAGTGTCGCAGAGGATCGGCATGCTGCTGATGTCTGGGAAAGGACAGCTGGCATCCCATCAGTGGCACCTTGCCTGACTCCCACCTGACAGCCATCACTCAGAGATGAAGCGGCAGTGCTACTGTTCTGAATAGCCCCAGCCCTGCCCTAAGCGAGTCCTCCTGGTGCCCAGCTGGCCTGCCCCGCTCAGGAGAGCATCCTCGGTCAGTCTGGGTGAGAACCGGGCTGTGGCCGTGGGCACAGACGTGGTCTGCCCACACTTCTGCTCGCCCGGAAGGTTGGAGACCCATGTGTTCCCGCCTGGGCTCAGTGTCTGACCCATGGTCCCGTTGAGGTGCACCCTGGAGGCAGCAAGGGATGACTCATGCACTTGGGTGGGCACAGGGGTAGAAAAGAGGCCTGGTGTGTGCCATGTGAAATTCTGATTTGTCAGAAGCTGCTGTGTGAGACAGTGAAGGGTGTGGAATTTGGAGTGCCCCGAGTGAGACAGGAGAGTCCTTGGAGAAGGGCACAGGTTTCCTTCCGTTATGATGGTATTGGTTTAGTACTCTTGCAGCAGCTGTAAAGTTGCAACAAGTTGATATTTCGAGTGTGACCAAATCCTGCTTCCATTGCAATGTGGAAGAGCACTACATGCACAGGCAGAATGTCCGTGCACATGCAAGTGGATGTTTCAATCTGGTCCCGTGTAGCACCTCAGAGCCAACTGGACGGGGCCTACAATGTTAGTCCCAAGTGCTGTTCGACTGAAAGGAACGGTCATCATCAGTGTCCCAGCGGTCAAGTGTGTTCCCCAGGCCGCACTGGGCCATGGGGCGGCTCGTGGTGTGAGCGTTTCTGCATGTGTGTGAGCGCGTGTGAATGCACACGGAGGTGTGAGGGTCCCAGAGTGTATGTCGGAACGGGGAGTGTTGACGGATGGCCTCCCTGTCTCTGCTACAGCATCCAACTGCCCAGAACACAGCCACTACGAGGTGTGTGCCCAAGGCTGCCAGCCCACCTGCGGGAACCTCACGGTGACCGGAGCCTGTGGCTCTGCGTGCTACGAGAGCTGTGTGTGTGACGACGGCTTTGTGCTCAGCGGCAACTCGTGCGTGGCCCCAGAATCCTGCGGCTGTGTTCACAATGGCACCTACCACCCGCCAGGCCAGACCTTCTACCCTGGTCCCGAGTGTGACTCCCTTTGCACCTGCCAGGCGGGAGGCCAGCTGTCCTGCGAGCCCTCCTCCTGTGGCCCACAGGAGACCTGCCAGGTGTCTGATGGTGTCTTGGGCTGCGTGCCCGTGAGTTCTGCCACCTGCCAGGCCTCTGGAGACCCACACTACGTGACCTTCGACGGCCGCCGCTACGACTTCATGGGCGCCTGCGTGTACCTGCTGGCGGGCACGTGCGGCTCGAACAACATGACGCTGCCCGAGTTCCGGGTGCTGGTGGAGAATGAGCATCGGGGCAGCCAGGCCGTGAGCTACACGGGCGCCGTGCGGGTGGAGGTGTACGGCGTGGAGTTGGTCATGAGCCGGAAGAAGCCAGGACAAGTGATGGTGAGCTAAGGGCAAAGGCAGTGGGTGTCGCTGTGTTTGAGGAAAGGGTGAGGGAATGGGAAAGGGAAAGGAAAAGGATTTTGGGGTGAAGGTCCTGGGTCGGGCTGAGCTGGGAGCGTTGCTGCTGGTGAGGAAGGTAGCAGGGCTGCAGCAGAGGAAGGGGAGGTGCGGGGCGAGCCGAGCCGGGCTGTGGGTGTGGTGGTGGGAGGCAGGCGCAGAGCATGGTGGCTGAGAGGTGTGGGTTTCAGGTGGTGCCTGGAGAGTGAGGGGTTGGGTGGCGTTCCAGGCAGGAGAAGCAGCAGGTGCCAAGGCCCCTGGTGGGGCTGAGCACAGCCCGGAGACATGGTAGCCACACACGCCTGCAGGAACACCAGCTAGCTGACCCTCCTCATCCTTCTGGTCTCCTCCCTTCTCTCCCAGGTGGATGGCGTGCTTCAGTACCCTCCGTTTGAGGCCGCTGGAGGGCGCGTGCAGGTGAACCGCCTCGGTAACAACGCCGTGGTCCACACAGACTTTGGCCTGACTGTCACCTTCAACTGGGATGCTCTAGTGACTGTCAAGGTGCCCAGCAGCTACACAGATGCCATGTGTGGTCTCTGCGGGAACTTCAACGAGGACCCCAACGATGACTTGACTCTGCGGAATGGCAGCCAAACGACTGATGCCACAGACTTCGGGAACAGCTGGCAGGAGGAGGAGACGGGCCCGGGCTGTGAAGCGACTGGACCCACGAAGGAATGTCCCAACCTGGACGAGATGCTGAACGACCAGGTGCAGAAGAAGGAGAAGTGTGGAATCCTGGCCGACCCCGAAGGTCCCTTCCGGGAGTGTCACCAACACGTGGATCCCCAGGGCGCTGTGCACGACTGTGTCTATGACCTCTGCCTGGTACCAGAACAACCTGATGTGGCGTGTGACACATTGGTGGCATACGCTGCCGCATGCCAGGCTGCCGGAGCCACCGTGTACCCCTGGAGGAATGAAACGTTTTGCCGTGAGTAGCCGCAGTGGCAGCTCTGTGTGTGTGTGTGTGTGTGTGTGTGTGCGCGTTGCCTGAGTGTTCTTGTGGGTAGGAGGTGGCAGCCTTCTGTCTGTCCGTTGACATGCGATGTCATCCCATTCCGTTCATGCTTTAAGAGCCCCCTGATGTAGACACTGTGGTTATCCTGAGCCTAAGGGTAGAGATGGAAAGAGTGAGATTCAGAAAGTTGAGGTTCTAAGCCTGGGGTGATGGCAACTCGAGTGTCGCAGAGGATCGGCATGCCGCCGATGTCTGGGAAAGGACAGCTGGCATCCCATCAGTGGCACCTTGCCTGACTCCCACCTGACAGCCGTCACTCAGAGATGAAGCGGCAGTGCTACTGTTCTGAATAGCCCCAGCCCTGCCCTAAGCGAGTCCTCCTGGTGCCCAGCTGGCCTGCCCCGCTCAGGAGAGCATCCTCGGTCAGTCTGGGTGAGAACCGGGCTGTGGCCGTGGGCACAGACGTGGTCTGCCCACACTTCTGCTCGCCCGGAAGGTTGGAGACCCATGTGTTCCCGCCTGGGCTCAGTGTCTGACCCATGGTCCCGTTGAGGTGCACCCTGGAGGCAGCAAGGGATGACTCATGCACTTGGGTGGGCACAGGGGTAGAAAAGAGGCCTGGTGTGTGCCATGTGAAATTCTGATTTGTCAGAAGCTGCTGTGTGAGACAGTGAAGGGTGTGGAATTTGGAGTGCCCCGAGTGAGACAGGAGAGTCCTTGGAGAAGGGCACAGGTTTCCTTCCGTTATGATGGTATTGGTTTAGTACTCTTGCAGCAGCTGTAAAGTTGCAACAAGTTGATATTTCGAGTGTGACCAAATCCTGCTTCCATTGCAATGTGGAAGAGCACTACATGCACAGGCAGAATGTCCGTGCACATGCAAGTGGATGTTTCAATCTGGTCCCGTGTAGCACCTCAGAGCCAACTGGACGGGGCCTACAATGTTAGTCCCAAGTGCTGTTCGACTGAAAGGAACGGTCATCATCAGTGTCCCAGCGGTCAAGTGTGTTCCCCAGGCCGCACTGGGCCATGGGGCGGCTCGTGGTGTGAGCGTTTCTGCATGTGTGTGAGCGCGTGTGAATGCACACGGAGGTGTGAGGGTCCCAGAGTGTATGTCGGAACGGGGAGTGTTGACGGATGGCCTCCCTGTCTCTGCTACAGCATCCAACTGCCCAGAACACAGCCACTACGAGGTGTGTGCCCAAGGCTGCCAGCCCACCTGCGGGAACCTCACGGTGACCGGAGCCTGTGGCTCTGCGTGCTACGAGAGCTGTGTGTGCGACGACGGCTTTGTGCTCAGCGGCAACTCGTGCGTGGCCCCAGAATCCTGCGGCTGTGTTCACAATGGCACCTACCACCCGCCAGGCCAGACCTTCTACCCTGGTCCCGAGTGTGACTCCCTTTGCACCTGCCAGGCGGGAGGCCAGCTGTCCTGCGAGCCCTCCTCCTGTGGCCCACAGGAGACCTGCCAGGTGTCTGATGGTGTCTTGGGCTGCGTGCCCGTGAGTTCTGCCACCTGCCAGGCCTCTGGAGACCCACACTACGTGACCTTCGACGGCCGCCGCTACGACTTCATGGGCGCCTGCGTGTACCTGCTGGCGGGCACGTGCGGCTCGAACAACATGACGCTGCCCGAGTTCCGGGTGCTGGTGGAGAATGAGCATCGGGGCAGCCAGGCCGTGAGCTACACGGGCGCCGTGCGGGTGGAGGTGTACGGCGTGGAGTTGGTCATGAGCCGGAAGAAGCCAGGACAAGTGATGGTGAGCTAAGGGCAAAGGCAGTGGGTGTCGCTGTGTTTGAGGAAAGGGTGAGGGAATGGGAAAGGGAAAGGAAAAGGATTTTGGGGTGAAGGTCCTGGGTCGGGCTGAGCTGGGAGCGTTGCTGCTGGTGAGGAAGGTAGCAGGGCTGCAGCAGAGGAAGGGGAGGTGCGGGGCGAGCCGAGCCGGGCTGTGGGTGTGGTGGTGGGAGGCAGGTGCAGAGCATGGTGGCTGAGAGGTGTGGGTTTCAGGTGGTGCCTGGAGAGTGAGGGGTTGGGTGGCGTTCCAGGCAGGAGAAGCAGCAGGTGCCAAGGCCCCTGGTGGGGCTGAGCACAGCCCGGAGACATGGTAGCCACACACGCCTGCAGGAACACCAGCTAGCTGACCCTCCTCATCCTTCTGGTCTCCTCCCTTCTCTCCCAGGTGGATGGCGTGCTTCAGTACCCTCCGTTTGAGGCCGCTGGAGGGCGCGTGCAGGTGAACCGCCTCGGTAACAACGCCGTGGTCCACACAGACTTTGGCCTGACTGTCACCTTCAACTGGGATGCTCTAGTGACTGTCAAGGTGCCCAGCAGCTACACAGATGCCATGTGTGGTCTCTGCGGGAACTTCAACGAGGACCCCAACGATGACTTGACTCTGCGGAATGGCAGCCAAACGACTGATGCCACAGACTTCGGGAACAGCTGGCAGGAGGAGGAGACGGGCCCGGGCTGTGAAGCGACTGGACCCACGAAGGAATGTCCCAACCTGGACGAGATGCTGAACGACCAGGTGCAGAAGAAGGAGAAGTGTGGAATCCTGGCCGACCCCGAAGGTCCCTTCCGGGAGTGTCACCAACACGTGGATCCCCAGGGCGCTGTGCACGACTGTGTCTATGACCTCTGCCTGGTACCAGAACAACCTGATGTGGCGTGTGACACATTGGTGGCATACGCTGCCGCGTGCCAGGCTGCCGGAGCCACCGTGTACCCCTGGAGGAATGAAACGTTTTGCCGTGAGTAGCCGCAGTGGCAGCTCTGTGTGTGTGTGTGTGTGTGTATGTGTTGCCTGAGTGTTCTTGTGGGTAGGAGGTGGCAGCCTTCTGTCTGTCCGTTGACATGCGATGTCATCCCATTCCGTTCATGCTTTAAGAGCCCCCTGATGTAGACACTGTGGTTATCCTGAGCCTAAGGGTAGAGATGGAAAGAGTGAGATTCAGAAAGTTGAGGTTCTAAGCCTGGGGTGATGGCAACTCGAGTGTCGCAGAGGATCGGCATGCCGCCGATGTCTGGGAAAGGACAGCTGGCATCCCATCAGTGGCACCTTGCCTGACTCCCACCTGACAGCCGTCACTCAGAGATGAAGCGGCAGTGCTACTGTTCTGAATAGCCCCAGCCCTGCCCTAAGCGAGTCCTCCTGGTGCCCAGCTGGCCTGCCCCGCTCAGGAGAGCATCCTCGGTCAGTCTGGGTGAGAACCGGGCTGTGGCCGTGGGCACAGACGTGGTCTGCCCACACTTCTGCTCGCCCGGAAGGTTGGAGACCCATGTGTTCCCGCCTGGGCTCAGTGTCTGACCCATGGTCCCGTTGAGGTGCACCCTGGAGGCAGCAAGGGATGACTCATGCACTTGGGTGGGCACAGGGGTAGAAAAGAGGCCTGGTGTGTGCCATGTGAAATTCTGATTTGTCAGAAGCTGCTGTGTGAGACAGTGAAGGGTGTGGAATTTGGAGTGCCCCGAGTGAGACAGGAGAGTCCTTGGAGAAGGGCACAGGTTTCCTTCCGTTATGATGGTATTGGTTTAGTACTCTTGCAGCAGCTGTAAAGTTGCAACAAGTTGATATTTCGAGTGTGACCAAATCCTGCTTCCATTGCAATGTGGAAGAGCACTACATGCACAGGCAGAATGTCCGTGCACATGCAAGTGGATGTTTCAATCTGGTCCCGTGTAGCACCTCAGAGCCAACTGGACGGGGCCTACAATGTTAGTCCCAAGTGCTGTTCGACTGAAAGGAACGGTCATCATCAGTGTCCCAGCGGTCAAGTGTGTTCCCCAGGCCGCACTGGGCCATGGGGCGGCTCGTGGTGTGAGCGTTTCTGCATGTGTGTGAGCGCGTGTGAATGCACACGGAGGTGTGAGGGTCCCAGAGTGTATGTCGGAACGGGGAGTGTTGACGGATGGCCTCCCTGTCTCTGCTACAGCATCCAACTGCCCAGAACACAGCCACTACGAGGTGTGTGCCCAAGGCTGCCAGCCCACCTGCGGGAACCTCACGGTGACCGGAGCCTGTGGCTCTGCGTGCTACGAGAGCTGTGTGTGCGACGACGGCTTTGTGCTCAGCGGCAACTCGTGCGTGGCCCCAGAATCCTGCGGCTGTGTTCACAATGGCACCTACCACCCGCCAGGCCAGACCTTCTACCCTGGTCCCGAGTGTGACTCCCTTTGCACCTGCCAGGCGGGAGGCCAGCTGTCCTGCGAGCCCTCCTCCTGTGGCCCACAGGAGACCTGCCAGGTGTCTGATGGTGTCTTGGGCTGCGTGCCCGTGAGTTCTGCCACCTGCCAGGCCTCTGGAGACCCACACTACGTGACCTTCGACGGCCGCCGCTACGACTTCATGGGCGCCTGCGTGTACCTGCTGGCGGGCACGTGCGGCTCGAACAACATGACGCTGCCCGAGTTCCGGGTGCTGGTGGAGAATGAGCATCGGGGCAGCCAGGCCGTGAGCTACACGGGCGCCGTGCGGGTGGAGGTGTACGGCGTGGAGTTGGTCATGAGCCGGAAGAAGCCAGGACAAGTGATGGTGAGCTAAGGGCAAAGGCAGTGGGTGTCGCTGTGTTTGAGGAAAGGGTGAGGGAATGGGAAAGGGAAAGGAAAAGGATTTTGGGGTGAAGGTCCTGGGTCGGGCTGAGCTGGGAGCGTTGCTGCTGGTGAGGAAGGTAGCAGGGCTGCAGCAGAGGAAGGGGAGGTGCGGGGCGAGCCGAGCCGGGCTGTGGGTGTGGTGGTGGGAGGCAGGTGCAGAGCATGGTGGCTGAGAGGTGTGGGTTTCAGGTGGTGCCTGGAGAGTGAGGGGTTGGGTGGCGTTCCAGGCAGGAGAAGCAGCAGGTGCCAAGGCCCCTGGTGGGGCTGAGCACAGCCCGGAGACATGGTAGCCACACACGCCTGCAGGAACACCAGCTAGCTGACCCTCCTCATCCTTCTGGTCTCCTCCCTTCTCTCCCAGGTGGATGGCGTGCTTCAGTACCCTCCGTTTGAGGCCGCTGGAGGGCGCGTGCAGGTGAACCGCCTCGGTAACAACGCCGTGGTCCACACAGACTTTGGCCTGACTGTCACCTTCAACTGGGATGCTCTAGTGACTGTCAAGGTGCCCAGCAGCTACACAGATGCCATGTGTGGTCTCTGCGGGAACTTCAACGAGGACCCCAACGATGACTTGACTCTGCGGAATGGCAGCCAAACGACTGATGCCACAGACTTCGGGAACAGCTGGCAGGAGGAGGAGACGGGCCCGGGCTGTGAAGCGACTGGACCCACGAAGGAATGTCCCAACCTGGACGAGATGCTGAACGACCAGGTGCAGAAGAAGGAGAAGTGTGGAATCCTGGCCGACCCCGAAGGTCCCTTCCGGGAGTGTCACCAACACGTGGATCCCCAGGGCGCTGTGCGCGACTGTGTCTATGACCTCTGCCTGGTACCAGAACAACCTGATGTGGCGTGTGACACATTGGTGGCATACGCTGCCGCGTGCCAGGCTGCCGGAGCCACCGTGTACCCCTGGAGGAATGAAACGTTTTGCCGTGAGTAGCCGCAGTGGCAGCTCTGTGTGTGTGTGTGTGTGTGTGTGTGTGTGTTGCCTGAGTGTTCTTGTGGGTAGGAGGTGGCAGCCTTCTGTCTGTCCGTTGACATGCGATGTCATCCCATTCCGTTCATGCTTTAAGAGCCCCCTGATGTAGACACTGTGGTTATCCTGAGCCTAAGGGTAGAGATGGAAAGAGTGAGATTCAGAAAGTTGAGGTTCTAAGCCTGGGGTGATGGCAACTCGAGTGTCGCAGAGGATCGGCATGCCGCCGATGTCTGGGAAAGGACAGCTGGCATCCCATCAGTGGCACCTTGCCTGACTCCCACCTGACAGCCGTCACTCAGAGATGAAGCGGCAGTGCTACTGTTCTGAATAGCCCCAGCCCTGCCCTAAGCGAGTCCTCCTGGTGCCCAGCTGGCCTGCCCCGCTCAGGAGAGCATCCTCGGTCAGTCTGGGTGAGAACCGGGCTGTGGCCGTGGGCACAGACGTGGTCTGCCCACACTTCTGCTCGCCCGGAAGGTTGGAGACCCATGTGTTCCCGCCTGGGCTCAGTGTCTGACCCATGGTCCCGTTGAGGTGCACCCTGGAGGCAGCAAGGGATGACTCATGCACTTGGGTGGGCACAGGGGTAGAAAAGAGGCCTGGTGTGTGCCATGTGAAATTCTGATTTGTCAGAAGCTGCTGTGTGAGACAGTGAAGGGTGTGGAATTTGGAGTGCCCCGAGTGAGACAGGAGAGTCCTTGGAGAAGGGCACAGGTTTCCTTCCGTTATGATGGTATTGGTTTAGTACTCTTGCAGCAGCTGTAAAGTTGCAACAAGTTGATATTTCGAGTGTGACCAAATCCTGCTTCCATTGCAATGTGGAAGAGCACTACATGCACAGGCAGAATGTCCGTGCACATGCAAGTGGATGTTTCAATCTGGTCCCGTGTAGCACCTCAGAGCCAACTGGACGGGGCCTACAATGTTAGTCCCAAGTGCTGTTCGACTGAAAGGAACGGTCATCATCAGTGTCCCAGCGGTCAAGTGTGTTCCCCAGGCCGCACTGGGCCATGGGGCGGCTCGTGGTGTGAGCGTTTCTGCATGTGTGTGAGCGCGTGTGAATGCACACGGAGGTGTGAGGGTCCCAGAGTGTATGTCGGAACGGGGAGTGTTGACGGATGGCCTCCCTGTCTCTGCTACAGCATCCAACTGCCCAGAACACAGCCACTACGAGGTGTGTGCCCAAGGCTGCCAGCCCACCTGCGGGAACCTCACGGTGACCGGAGCCTGTGGCTCTGCGTGCTACGAGAGCTGTGTGTGCGACGACGGCTTTGTGCTCAGCGGCAACTCGTGCGTGGCCCCAGAATCCTGCGGCTGTGTTCACAATGGCACCTACCACCCGCCAGGCCAGACCTTCTACCCTGGTCCCGAGTGTGACTCCCTTTGCACCTGCCAGGCGGGAGGCCAGCTGTCCTGCGAGCCCTCCTCCTGTGGCCCACAGGAGACCTGCCAGGTGTCTGATGGTGTCTTGGGCTGCGTGCCCGTGAGTTCTGCCACCTGCCAGGCCTCTGGAGACCCACACTACGTGACCTTCGACGGCCGCCGCTACGACTTCATGGGCGCCTGCGTGTACCTGCTGGCGGGCACGTGCGGCTCGAACAACATGACGCTGCCCGAGTTCCGGGTGCTGGTGGAGAATGAGCATCGGGGCAGCCAGGCCGTGAGCTACACGGGCGCCGTGCGGGTGGAGGTGTACGGCGTGGAGTTGGTCATGAGCCGGAAGAAGCCAGGACAAGTGATGGTGAGCTAAGGGCAAAGGCAGTGGGTGTCGCTGTGTTTGAGGAAAGGGTGAGGGAATGGGAAAGGGAAAGGAAAAGGATTTTGGGGTGAAGGTCCTGGGTCGGGCTGAGCTGGGAGCGTTGCTGCTGGTGAGGAAGGTAGCAGGGCTGCAGCAGAGGAAGGGGAGGTGCGGGGCGAGCCGAGCCGGGCTGTGGGTGTGGTGGTGGGAGGCAGGTGCAGAGCATGGTGGCTGAGAGGTGTGGGTTTCAGGTGGTGCCTGGAGAGTGAGGGGTTGGGTGGCGTTCCAGGCAGGAGAAGCAGCAGGTGCCAAGGCCCCTGGTGGGGCTGAGCACAGCCCGGAGACATGGTAGCCACACACGCCTGCAGGAACACCAGCTAGCTGACCCTCCTCATCCTTCTGGTCTCCTCCCTTCTCTCCCAGGTGGATGGCGTGCTTCAGTACCCTCCGTTTGAGGCCGCTGGAGGGCGCGTGCAGGTGAACCGCCTCGGTAACAACGCCGTGGTCCACACAGACTTTGGCCTGACTGTCACCTTCAACTGGGATGCTCTAGTGACTGTCAAGGTGCCCAGCAGCTACACAGATGCCATGTGTGGTCTCTGCGGGAACTTCAACGAGGACCCCAACGATGACTTGACTCTGCGGAATGGCAGCCAAACGACTGATGCCACAGACTTCGGGAACAGCTGGCAGGAGGAGGAGACGGGCCCGGGCTGTGAAGCGACTGGACCCACGAAGGAATGTCCCAACCTGGACGAGATGCTGAACGACCAGGTGCAGAAGAAGGAGAAGTGTGGAATCCTGGCCGACCCCGAAGGTCCCTTCCGGGAGTGTCACCAACACGTGGATCCCCAGGGCGCTGTGCGCGACTGTGTCTATGACCTCTGCCTGGTACCAGAACAACCTGATGTGGCGTGTGACACATTGGTGGCATACGCTGCCGCGTGCCAGGCTGCCGGAGCCACCGTGTACCCCTGGAGGAACGAAACGTTTTGCCGTGAGTAGCCGCAGTGGCAGCTCTGTGTGTGTGTGTGTGTGTGTGTGTGTGTGTGTGTGTGTGTGTTGCCTGAGTGTTCTTGTGGGTAGGAGGTGGCAGCCTTCTGTCTGTCCGTTGACATGCGATGTCATCCCATTCCGTTCATGCTTTAAGAGCCCCCTGATGTAGACACTGTGGTTATCCTGAGCCTAAGGGTAGAGATGGAAAGAGTGAGATTCAGAAAGTTGAGGTTCTAAGCCTGGGGTGATGGCAACTCGAGTGTCGCAGAGGATCGGCATGCCGCCGATGTCTGGGAAAGGACAGCTGGCATCCCATCAGTGGCACCTTGCCTGACTCCCACCTGACAGCCGTCACTCAGAGATGAAGCGGCAGTGCTACTGTTCTGAATAGCCCCAGCCCTGCCCTAAGCGAGTCCTCCTGGTGCCCAGCTGGCCTGCCCCGCTCAGGAGAGCATCCTCGGTCAGTCTGGGTGAGAACCGGGCTGTGGCCGTGGGCACAGACGTGGTCTGCCCACACCTCTGCTCGCCCGGAAGGTTGGAGACCCATGTGTTCCCGCCTGGGCTCAGTGTCTGACCCATGGTCCCGTTGAGGTGCACCCTGGAGGCAGCAAGGGATGACTCATGCACTTGGGTGGGCACAGGGGTAGAAAAGAGGCCTGGTGTGTGCCATGTGAAATTCTGATTTGTCAGAAGCTGCTGTGTGAGACAGTGAAGGGTGTGGAATTTGGAGTGCCCCGAGTGAGACAGGAGAGTCCTTGGAGAAGGGCACAGGTTTCCTTCCGTTATGATGGTATTGGTTTAGTACTCTTGCAGCAGCTGTAAAGTTGCAACAAGTTGATATTTCGAGTGTGACCAAATCCTGCTTCCATTGCAATGTGGAAGAGCACTACATGCACAGGCAGAATGTCCGTGCACATGCAAGTGGATGTTTCAATCTGGTCCCGTGTAGCACCTCAGAGCCAACTGGACGGGGCCTACAATGTTAGTCCCAAGTGCTGTTCGACTGAAAGGAACGGTCATCATCAGTGTCCCAGCGGTCAAGTGTGTTCCCCAGGCCGCACTGGGCCATGGGGCGGCTCGTGGTGTGAGCGTTTCTGCATGTGTGTGAGCGCGTGTGAATGCACACGGAGGTGTGAGGGTCCCAGAGTGTATGTCGGAACGGGGAGTGTTGACGGATGGCCTCCCTGTCTCTGCTACAGCATCCAACTGCCCAGAACACAGCCACTACGAGGTGTGTGCCCAAGGCTGCCAGCCCACCTGCGGGAACCTCACGGTGACCGGAGCCTGTGGCTCTGCGTGCTACGAGAGCTGTGTGTGCGACGACGGCTTTGTGCTCAGCGGCAACTCGTGCGTGGCCCCAGAATCCTGCGGCTGTGTTCACAATGGCACCTACCACCCGCCAGGCCAGACCTTCTACCCTGGTCCCGAGTGTGACTCCCTTTGCACCTGCCAGGCGGGAGGCCAGCTGTCCTGCGAGCCCTCCTCCTGTGGCCCACAGGAGACCTGCCAGGTGTCTGATGGTGTCTTGGGCTGCGTGCCCGTGAGTTCTGCCACCTGCCAGGCCTCTGGAGACCCACACTACGTGACCTTCGACGGCCGCCGCTACGACTTCATGGGCGCCTGCGTGTACCTGCTGGCGGGCACGTGCGGCTCGAACAACATGACGCTGCCCGAGTTCCGGGTGCTGGTGGAGAATGAGCATCGGGGCAGCCAGGCCGTGAGCTACACGGGCGCCGTGCGGGTGGAGGTGTACGGCGTGGAGTTGGTCATGAGCCGGAAGAAGCCAGGACAAGTGATGGTGAGCTAAGGGCAAAGGCAGTGGGTGTCGCTGTGTTTGAGGAAAGGGTGAGGGAATGGGAAAGGGAAAGGAAAAGGATTTTGGGGTGAAGGTCCTGGGTCGGGCTGAGCTGGGAGCGTTGCTGCTGGTGAGGAAGGTAGCAGGGCTGCAGCAGAGGAAGGGGAGGTGCGGGGCGAGCCGAGCCGGGCTGTGGGTGTGGTGGTGGGAGGCAGGTGCAGAGCATGGTGGCTGAGAGGTGTGGGTTTCAGGTGGTGCCTGGAGAGTGAGGGGTTGGGTGGCGTTCCAGGCAGGAGAAGCAGCAGGTGCCAAGGCCCCTGGTGGGGCTGAGCACAGCCCGGAGACATGGTAGCCACACACGCCTGCAGGAACACCAGCTAGCTGACCCTCCTCATCCTTCTGGTCTCCTCCCTTCTCTCCCAGGTGGATGGCGTGCTTCAGTACCCTCCGTTTGAGGCCGCTGGAGGGCGCGTGCAGGTGAACCGCCTCGGTAACAACGCCGTGGTCCACACAGACTTTGGCCTGACTGTCACCTTCAACTGGGATGCTCTAGTGACTGTCAAGGTGCCCAGCAGCTACACAGATGCCATGTGTGGTCTCTGCGGGAACTTCAACGAGGACCCCAACGATGACTTGACTCTGCGGAATGGCAGCCAAACGACTGATGCCACAGACTTCGGGAACAGCTGGCAGGAGGAGGAGACGGGCCCGGGCTGTGAAGCGACTGGACCCACGAAGGAATGTCCCAACCTGGACGAGATGCTGAACGACCAGGTGCAGAAGAAGGAGAAGTGTGGAATCCTGGCCGACCCCGAAGGTCCCTTCCGGGAGTGTCACCAACACGTGGATCCCCAGGGCGCTGTGCGCGACTGTGTCTATGACCTCTGCCTGGTACCAGAACAACCTGATGTGGCGTGTGACACATTGGTGGCATACGCTGCCGCGTGCCAGGCTGCCGGAGCCACCGTGTACCCCTGGAGGAACGAAACGTTTTGCCGTGAGTAGCCGCAGTGGCAGCTCTGTGTGTGTGTGTGTGTGTGTGTGTGTGTGTGTGTGTGTGTGTTGCCTGAGTGTTCTTGTGGGTAGGAGGTGGCAGCCTTCTGTCTGTCCGTTGACATGCGATGTCATCCCATTCCGTTCATGCTTTAAGAGCCCCCTGATGTAGACACTGTGGTTATCCTGAGCCTAAGGGTAGAGATGGAAAGAGTGAGATTCAGAAAGTTGAGGTTCTAAGCCTGGGGTGATGGCAACTCGAGTGTCGCAGAGGATCGGCATGCCGCCGATGTCTGGGAAAGGACAGCTGGCATCCCATCAGTGGCACCTTGCCTGACTCCCACCTGACAGCCGTCACTCAGAGATGAAGCGGCAGTGCTACTGTTCTGAATAGCCCCAGCCCTGCCCTAAGCGAGTCCTCCTGGTGCCCAGCTGGCCTGCCCCGCTCAGGAGAGCATCCTCGGTCAGTCTGGGTGAGAACCGGGCTGTGGCCGTGGGCACAGACGTGGTCTGCCCACACTTCTGCTCGCCCGGAAGGTTGGAGACCCATGTGTTCCCGCCTGGGCTCAGTGTCTGACCCATGGTCCCGTTGAGGTGCACCCTGGAGGCAGCAAGGGATGACTCATGCACTTGGGTGGGCACAGGGGTAGAAAAGAGGCCTGGTGTGTGCCATGTGAAATTCTGATTTGTCAGAAGCTGCTGTGTGAGACAGTGAAGGGTGTGGAATTTGGAGTGCCCCGAGTGAGACAGGAGAGTCCTTGGAGAAGGGCACAGGTTTCCTTCCGTTATGATGGTATTGGTTTAGTACTCTTGCAGCAGCTGTAAAGTTGCAACAAGTTGATATTTCGAGTGTGACCAAATCCTGCTTCCATTGCAATGTGGAAGAGCACTACATGCACAGGCAGAATGTCCGTGCACATGCAAGTGGATGTTTCAATCTGGTCCCGTGTAGCACCTCAGAGCCAACTGGACGGGGCCTACAATGTTAGTCCCAAGTGCTGTTCGACTGAAAGGAACGGTCATCATCAGTGTCCCAGCGGTCAAGTGTGTTCCCCAGGCCGCACTGGGCCATGGGGCGGCTCGTGGTGTGAGCGTTTCTGCATGTGTGTGAGCGCGTGTGAATGCACACGGAGGTGTGAGGGTCCCAGAGTGTATGTCGGAACGGGGAGTGTTGACGGATGGCCTCCCTGTCTCTGCTACAGCATCCAACTGCCCAGAACACAGCCACTACGAGGTGTGTGCCCAAGGCTGCCAGCCCACCTGCGGGAACCTCACGGTGACCGGAGCCTGTGGCTCTGCGTGCTACGAGAGCTGTGTGTGCGACGACGGCTTTGTGCTCAGCGGCAACTCGTGCGTGGCCCCAGAATCCTGCGGCTGTGTTCACAATGGCACCTACCACCCGCCAGGCCAGACCTTCTACCCTGGTCCCGAGTGTGACTCCCTTTGCACCTGCCAGGCGGGAGGCCAGCTGTCCTGCGAGCCCTCCTCCTGTGGCCCACAGGAGACCTGCCAGGTGTCTGATGGTGTCTTGGGCTGCGTGCCCGTGAGTTCTGCCACCTGCCAGGCCTCTGGAGACCCACACTACGTGACCTTCGACGGCCGCCGCTACGACTTCATGGGCGCCTGCGTGTACCTGCTGGCGGGCACGTGCGGCTCGAACAACATGACGCTGCCCGAGTTCCGGGTGCTGGTGGAGAATGAGCATCGGGGCAGCCAGGCCGTGAGCTACACGGGCGCCGTGCGGGTGGAGGTGTACGGCGTGGAGTTGGTCATGAGCCGGAAGAAGCCAGGACAAGTGATGGTGAGCTAAGGGCAAAGGCAGTGGGTGTCGCTGTGTTTGAGGAAAGGGTGAGGGAATGGGAAAGGGAAAGGAAAAGGATTTTGGGGTGAAGGTCCTGGGTCGGGCTGAGCTGGGAGCGTTGCTGCTGGTGAGGAAGGTAGCAGGGCTGCAGCAGAGGAAGGGGAGGTGCGGGGCGAGCCGAGCCGGGCTGTGGGTGTGGTGGTGGGAGGCAGGTGCAGAGCATGGTGGCTGAGAGGTGTGGGTTTCAGGTGGTGCCTGGAGAGTGAGGGGTTGGGTGGCGTTCCAGGCAGGAGAAGCAGCAGGTGCCAAGGCCCCTGGTGGGGCTGAGCACAGCCCGGAGACATGGTAGCCACACACGCCTGCAGGAACACCAGCTAGCTGACCCTCCTCATCCTTCTGGTCTCCTCCCTTCTCTCCCAGGTGGATGGCGTGCTTCAGTACCCTCCGTTTGAGGCCGCTGGAGGGCGCGTGCAGGTGAACCGCCTCGGTAACAACGCCGTGGTCCACACAGACTTTGGCCTGACTGTCACCTTCAACTGGGATGCTCTAGTGACTGTCAAGGTGCCCAGCAGCTACACAGATGCCATGTGTGGTCTCTGCGGGAACTTCAACGAGGACCCCAACGATGACTTGACTCTGCGGAATGGCAGCCAAACGACTGATGCCACAGACTTCGGGAACAGCTGGCAGGAGGAGGAGACGGGCCCGGGCTGTGAAGCGACTGGACCCACGAAGGAATGTCCCAACCTGGACGAGATGCTGAACGACCAGGTGCAGAAGAAGGAGAAGTGTGGAATCCTGGCCGACCCCGAAGGTCCCTTCCGGGAGTGTCACCAACACGTGGATCCCCAGGGCGCTGTGCGCGACTGTGTCTATGACCTCTGCCTGGTACCAGAACAACCTGATGTGGCGTGTGACACATTGGTGGCATACGCTGCCGCGTGCCAGGCTGCCGGAGCCACCGTGTACCCCTGGAGGAACGAAACGTTTTGCCGTGAGTAGCCGCAGTGGCAGCTCTGTGTGTGTGTGTGTGTGTGTGTGTGTGTGTGTGTGTGTGTGTTGCCTGAGTGTTCTTGTGGGTAGGAGGTGGCAGCCTTCTGTCTGTCCGTTGACATGCGATGTCATCCCATTCCGTTCATGCTTTAAGAGCCCCCTGATGTAGACACTGTGGTTATCCTGAGCCTAAGGGTAGAGATGGAAAGAGTGAGATTCAGAAAGTTGAGGTTCTAAGCCTGGGTGATGGCAACTCGAGTGTCGCAGAGGATCGGCATGCCGCCGATGTCTGGGAAAGGACAGCTGGCATCCCATCAGTGGCACCTTGCCTGACTCCCACCTGACAGCCGTCACTCAGAGATGAAGCGGCAGTGCTACTGTTCTGAATAGCCCCAGCCCTGCCCTAAGCGAGTCCTCCTGGTGCCCAGCTGGCCTGCCCCGCTCAGGAGAGCATCCTCGGTCAGTCTGGGTGAGAACCGGGCTGTGGCCGTGGGCACAGACGTGGTCTGCCCACACTTCTGCTCGCCCGGAAGGTTGGAGACCCATGTGTTCCCGCCTGGGCTCAGTGTCTGACCCATGGTCCCGTTGAGGTGCACCCTGGAGGCAGCAAGGGATGACTCATGCACTTGGGTGGGCACAGGGGTAGAAAAGAGGCCTGGTGTGTGCCATGTGAAATTCTGATTTGTCAGAAGCTGCTGTGTGAGACAGTGAAGGGTGTGGAATTTGGAGTGCCCCGAGTGAGACAGGAGAGTCCTTGGAGAAGGGCACAGGTTTCCTTCCGTTATGATGGTATTGGTTTAGTACTCTTGCAGCAGCTGTAAAGTTGCAACAAGTTGATATTTCGAGTGTGACCAAATCCTGCTTCCATTGCAATGTGGAAGAGCACTACATGCACAGGCAGAATGTCCGTGCACATGCAAGTGGATGTTTCAATCTGGTCCCGTGTAGCACCTCAGAGCCAACTGGACGGGGCCTACAATGTTAGTCCCAAGTGCTGTTCGACTGAAAGGAACGGTCATCATCAGTGTCCCAGCGGTCAAGTGTGTTCCCCAGGCCGCACTGGGCCATGGGGCGGCTCGTGGTGTGAGCGTTTCTGCATGTGTGTGAGCGCGTGTGAATGCACACGGAGGTGTGAGGGTCCCAGAGTGTATGTCGGAACGGGGAGTGTTGACGGATGGCCTCCCTGTCTCTGCTACAGCATCCAACTGCCCAGAACACAGCCACTACGAGGTGTGTGCCCAAGGCTGCCAGCCCACCTGCGGGAACCTCACGGTGACCGGAGCCTGTGGCTCTGCGTGCTACGAGAGCTGTGTGTGCGACGACGGCTTTGTGCTCAGCGGCAACTCGTGCGTGGCCCCAGAATCCTGCGGCTGTGTTCACAATGGCACCTACCACCCGCCAGGCCAGACCTTCTACCCTGGTCCCGAGTGTGACTCCCTTTGCACCTGCCAGGCGGGAGGCCAGCTGTCCTGCGAGCCCTCCTCCTGTGGCCCACAGGAGACCTGCCAGGTGTCTGATGGTGTCTTGGGCTGCGTGCCCGTGAGTTCTGCCACCTGCCAGGCCTCTGGAGACCCACACTACGTGACCTTCGACGGCCGCCGCTACGACTTCATGGGCGCCTGCGTGTACCTGCTGGCGGGCACGTGCGGCTCGAACAACATGACGCTGCCCGAGTTCCGGGTGCTGGTGGAGAATGAGCATCGGGGCAGCCAGGCCGTGAGCTACACGGGCGCCGTGCGGGTGGAGGTGTACGGCGTGGAGTTGGTCATGAGCCGGAAGAAGCCAGGACAAGTGATGGTGAGCTAAGGGCAAAGGCAGTGGGTGTCGCTGTGTTTGAGGAAAGGGTGAGGGAATGGGAAAGGGAAAGGAAAAGGATTTTGGGGTGAAGGTCCTGGGTCGGGCTGAGCTGGGAGCGTTGCTGCTGGTGAGGAAGGTAGCAGGGCTGCAGCAGAGGAAGGGGAGGTGCGGGGCGAGCCGAGCCGGGCTGTGGGTGTGGTGGTGGGAGGCAGGTGCAGAGCATGGTGGCTGAGAGGTGTGGGTTTCAGGTGGTGCCTGGAGAGTGAGGGGTTGGGTGGCGTTCCAGGCAGGAGAAGCAGCAGGTGCCAAGGCCCCTGGTGGGGCTGAGCACAGCCCGGAGACATGGTAGCCACACACGCCTGCAGGAACACCAGCTAGCTGACCCTCCTCATCCTTCTGGTCTCCTCCCTTCTCTCCCAGGTGGATGGCGTGCTTCAGTACCCTCCGTTTGAGGCCGCTGGAGGGCGCGTGCAGGTGAACCGCCTCGGTAACAACGCCGTGGTCCACACAGACTTTGGCCTGACTGTCACCTTCAACTGGGATGCTCTAGTGACTGTCAAGGTGCCCAGCAGCTACACAGATGCCATGTGTGGTCTCTGCGGGAACTTCAACGAGGACCCCAACGATGACTTGACTCTGCGGAATGGCAGCCAAACGACTGATGCCACAGACTTCGGGAACAGCTGGCAGGAGGAGGAGACGGGCCCGGGCTGTGAAGCGACTGGACCCACGAAGGAATGTCCCAACCTGGACGAGATGCTGAACGACCAGGTGCAGAAGAAGGAGAAGTGTGGAATCCTGGCCGACCCCGAAGGTCCCTTCCGGGAGTGTCACCAACACGTGGATCCCCAGGGCGCTGTGCGCGACTGTGTCTATGACCTCTGCCTGGTACCAGAACAACCTGATGTGGCGTGTGACACATTGGTGGCATACGCTGCCGCGTGCCAGGCTGCCGGAGCCACCGTGTACCCCTGGAGGAACGAAACGTTTTGCCGTGAGTAGCCGCAGTGGCAGCTCTGTGTGTGTGTGTGTGTGTGTGTGTGTGTGTGTGTGTGTGTGTGTGTTGCCTGAGTGTTCTTGTGGGTAGGAGGTGGCAGCCTTCTGTCTGTCCGTTGACATGCGATGTCATCCCATTCCGTTCATGCTTTAAGAGCCCCCTGATGTAGACACTGTGGTTATCCTGAGCCTAAGGGTAGAGATGGAAAGAGTGAGATTCAGAAAGTTGAGGTTCTAAGCCTGGGGTGATGGCAACTCGAGTGTCGCAGAGGATCGGCATGCCGCCGATGTCTGGGAAAGGACAGCTGGCATCCCATCAGTGGCACCTTGCCTGACTCCCACCTGACAGCCGTCACTCAGAGATGAAGCGGCAGTGCTACTGTTCTGAATAGCCCCAGCCCTGCCCTAAGCGAGTCCTCCTGGTGCCCAGCTGGCCTGCCCCGCTCAGGAGAGCATCCTCGGTCAGTCTGGGTGAGAACCGGGCTGTGGCCGTGGGCACAGACGTGGTCTGCCCACACTTCTGCTCGCCCGGAAGGTTGGAGACCCATGTGTTCCCGCCTGGGCTCAGTGTCTGACCCATCGTCCCGTTGAGGTGCACCCTGGAGGCAGCAAGGGATGACTCATGCACTTGGGTGGGCACAGGGGTAGAAAAGAGGCCTGGTGTGTGCCATGTGAAATTCTGATTTGTCAGAAGCTGCTGTGTGAGACAGTGAAGGGTGTGGAATTTGGAGTGCCCCGAGTGAGACAGGAGAGTCCTTGGAGAAGGGCACAGGTTTCCTTCCGTTATGATGGTATTGGTTTAGTACTCTTGCAGCAGCTGTAAAGTTGCAACAAGTTGATATTTCGAGTGTGACCAAATCCTGCTTCCATTGCAATGTGGAAGAGCACTACATGCACAGGCAGAATGTCCGTGCACATGCAAGTGGATGTTTCAATCTGGTCCCGTGTAGCACCTCAGAGCCAACTGGACGGGGCCTACAATGTTAGTCCCAAGTGCTGTTCGACTGAAAGGAACGGTCATCATCAGTGTCCCAGCGGTCAAGTGTGTTCCCCAGGCCGCACTGGGCCATGGGGCGGCTCGTGGTGTGAGCGTTTCTGCATGTGTGTGAGCGCGTGTGAATGCACACGGAGGTGTGAGGGTCCCAGAGTGTATGTCGGAACGGGGAGTGTTGACGGATGGCCTCCCTGTCTCTGCTACAGCATCCAACTGCCCAGAACACAGCCACTACGAGGTGTGTGCCCAAGGCTGCCAGCCCACCTGCGGGAACCTCACGGTGACCGGAGCCTGTGGCTCTGCGTGCTACGAGAGCTGTGTGTGCGACGACGGCTTTGTGCTCAGCGGCAACTCGTGCGTGGCCCCAGAATCCTGCGGCTGTGTTCACAATGGCACCTACCACCCGCCAGGCCAGACCTTCTACCCTGGTCCCGAGTGTGACTCCCTTTGCACCTGCCAGGCGGGAGGCCAGCTGTCCTGCGAGCCCTCCTCCTGTGGCCCACAGGAGACCTGCCAGGTGTCTGATGGTGTCTTGGGCTGCGTGCCCGTGAGTTCTGCCACCTGCCAGGCCTCTGGAGACCCACACTACGTGACCTTCGACGGCCGCCGCTACGACTTCATGGGCGCCTGCGTGTACCTGCTGGCGGGCACGTGCGGCTCGAACAACATGACGCTGCCCGAGTTCCGGGTGCTGGTGGAGAATGAGCATCGGGGCAGCCAGGCCGTGAGCTACACGGGCGCCGTGCGGGTGGAGGTGTACGGCGTGGAGTTGGTCATGAGCCGGAAGAAGCCAGGACAAGTGATGGTGAGCTAAGGGCAAAGGCAGTGGGTGTCGCTGTGTTTGAGGAAAGGGTGAGGGAATGGGAAAGGGAAAGGAAAAGGATTTTGGGGTGAAGGTCCTGGGTCGGGCTGAGCTGGGAGCGTTGCTGCTGGTGAGGAAGGTAGCAGGGCTGCAGCAGAGGAAGGGGAGGTGCGGGGCGAGCCGAGCCGGGCTGTGGGTGTGGTGGTGGGAGGCAGGCGCAGAGCATGGTGGCTGAGAGGTGTGGGTTTCAGGTGGTGCCTGGAGAGTGAGGGGTTGGGTGGCGTTCCAGGCAGGAGAAGCAGCAGGTGCCAAGGCCCCTGGTGGGGCTGAGCACAGCCCGGAGACATGGTAGCCACACACGCCTGCAGGAACACCAGCTAGCTGACCCTCCTCATCCTTCTGGTCTCCTCCCTTCTCTCCCAGGTGGATGGCGTGCTTCAGTACCCTCCGTTTGAGGCCGCAGGAGGGCGCGTGCAGGTGAACCGCCTCGGTAACAACGCCGTGGTCCACACAGACTTTGGCCTGACTGTCACCTTCAACTGGGATGCTCTAGTGACTGTCAAGGTGCCCAGCAGCTACACAGATGCCATGTGTGGTCTCTGCGGGAACTTCAACGAGGACCCCAACGATGACTTGACTCTGCGGAATGGCAGCCAAACGACTGATGCCACAGACTTCGGGAACAGCTGGCAGGAGGAGGAGACGGGCCCGGGCTGTGAAGCGACTGGACCCACGAAGGAATGTCCCAACCTGGACGAGATGCTGAACGACCAGGTGCAGAAGAAGGAGAAGTGTGGAATCCTGGCCGACCCCAATGGTCCCTTCCGGGAGTGTCACCAACACGTGGATCCCCAGGGCGCTGTGCGCGACTGTGTCTATGACCTCTGCCTGGTACCAGAACAACCTGATGTGGCGTGTGACACATTGGTGGCATACGCTGCCGCGTGCCAGGCTGCCGGAGCCACCGTGTACCCCTGGAGGAATGAAACGTTTTGCCGTAAGTAGCCGCAGTGGCAGCTCTGTGTGTGTGTGTGTGTGTGTGTGTGTGTGTGTGTGTGTGTGTGTGTTGCCTGAGTGTTCTTGTGGGTAGGAGGTGGCAGCCTTCTGTCTGTCCGTTGACATGCGATGTCATCCCATTCCGTTCATGCTTTAAGAGCCCCCTGATGTAGACACTGTGGTTATCCTGAGCCTAAGGGTAGAGATGGAAAGAGTGAGATTCAGAAAGTTGAGGTTCTAAGCCTGGGGTGATGGCAACTCGAGTGTCGCAGAGGATCGGCATGCCGCCGATGTCTGGGAAAGGACAGCTGGCATCCCATCAGTGGCACCTTGCCTGACTCCCACCTGACAGCCGTCACTCAGAGATGAAGCGGCAGTGCTACTGTTCTGAATAGCCCCAGCCCTGCCCTAAGCGAGTCCTCCTGGTGCCCAGCTGGCCTGCCCCGCTCAGGAGAGCATCCTCGGTCAGTCTGGGTGAGAACCGGGCTGTGGCCGTGGGCACAGACGTGGTCTGCCCACACTTCTGCTCGCCCGGAAGGTTGGAGACCCATGTGTTCCCGCCTGGGCTCAGTGTCTGACCCATCGTCCCGTTGAGGTGCACCCTGGAGGCAGCAAGGGATGACTCATGCACTTGGGTGGGCACAGGGGTAGAAAAGAGGCCTGGTGTGTGCCATGTGAAATTCTGATTTGTCAGAAGCTGCTGTGTGAGACAGTGAAGGGTGTGGAATTTGGAGTGCCCCGAGTGAGACAGGAGAGTCCTTGGAGAAGGGCACAGGTTTCCTTCCGTTATGATGGTATTGGTTTAGTACTCTTGCAGCAGCTGTAAAGTTGCAACAAGTTGATATTTCGAGTGTGACCAAATCCTGCTTCCATTGCAATGTGGAAGAGCACTACATGCACAGGCAGAATGTCCGTGCACATGCAAGTGGATGTTTCAATCTGGTCCCGTGTAGCACCTCAGAGCCAACTGGACGGGGCCTACAATGTTAGTCCCAAGTGCTGTTCGACTGAAAGGAACGGTCATCATCAGTGTCCCAGCGGTCAAGTGTGTTCCCCAGGCCGCACTGGGCCATGGGGCGGCTCGTGGTGTGAGCGTTTCTGCATGTGTGTGAGCGCGTGTGAATGCACACGGAGGTGTGAGGGTCCCAGAGTGTATGTCGGAACGGGGAGTGTTGACGGATGGCCTCCCTGTCTCTGCTACAGCATCCAACTGCCCAGAACACAGCCACTACGAGGTGTGTGCCCAAGGCTGCCAGCCCACCTGCGGGAACCTCACGGTGACCGGAGCCTGTGGCTCTGCGTGCTACGAGAGCTGTGTGTGCGACGACGGCTTTGTGCTCAGCGGCAACTCGTGCGTGGCCCCAGAATCCTGCGGCTGTGTTCACAATGGCACCTACCACCCGCCAGGCCAGACCTTCTACCCTGGTCCCGAGTGTGACTCCCTTTGCACCTGCCAGGCGGGAGGCCAGCTGTCCTGCGAGCCCTCCTCCTGTGGCCCACAGGAGACCTGCCAGGTGTCTGATGGTGTCTTGGGCTGCGTGCCCGTGAGTTCTGCCACCTGCCAGGCCTCTGGAGACCCACACTACGTGACCTTCGACGGCCGCCGCTACGACTTCATGGGCGCCTGCGTGTACCTGCTGGCGGGCACGTGCGGCTCGAACAACATGACGCTGCCCGAGTTCCGGGTGCTGGTGGAGAATGAGCATCGGGGCAGCCAGGCCGTGAGCTACACGGGCGCCGTGCGGGTGGAGGTGTACGGCGTGGAGTTGGTCATGAGCCGGAAGAAGCCAGGACAAGTGATGGTGAGCTAAGGGCAAAGGCAGTGGGTGTCGCTGTGTTTGAGGAAAGGGTGAGGGAATGGGAAAGGGAAAGGAAAAGGATTTTGGGGTGAAGGTCCTGGGTCGGGCTGAGCTGGGAGCGTTGCTGCTGGTGAGGAAGGTAGCAGGGCTGCAGCAGAGGAAGGGGAGGTGCGGGGCGAGCCGAGCCGGGCTGTGGGTGTGGTGGTGGGAGGCAGGCGCAGAGCATGGTGGCTGAGAGGTGTGGGTTTCAGGTGGTGCCTGGAGAGTGAGGGGTTGGGTGGCGTTCCAGGCAGGAGAAGCAGCAGGTGCCAAGGCCCCTGGTGGGGCTGAGCACAGCCCGGAGACATGGTAGCCACACACGCCTGCAGGAACACCAGCTAGCTGACCCTCCTCATCCTTCTGGTCTCCTCCCTTCTCTCCCAGGTGGATGGCGTGCTTCAGTACCCTCCGTTTGAGGCCGCTGGAGGGCGCGTGCAGGTGAACCGCCTCGGTAACAACGCCGTGGTCCACACAGACTTTGGCCTGACTGTCACCTTCAACTGGGATGCTCTAGTGACTGTCAAGGTGCCCAGCAGCTACACAGATGCCATGTGTGGTCTCTGCGGGAACTTCAACGAGGACCCCAACGATGACTTGACTCTGCGGAATGGCAGCCAAACGACTGATGCCACAGACTTCGGGAACAGCTGGCAGGAGGAGGAGACGGGCCCGGGCTGTGAAGCGACTGGACCCACGAAGGAATGTCCCAACCTGGACGAGATGCTGAACGACCAGGTGCAGAAGAAGGAGAAGTGTGGAATCCTGGCCGACCCCAAGGTCCCTTCCGGGAGTGTCACCAACACGTGGATCCCCAGGGCGCTGTGCGCGACTGTGTCTATGACCTCTGCCTGGTACCAGAACAACCTGATGTGGCGTGTGACACATTGGTGGCATACGCTGCCGCGTGCCAGGCTGCCGGAGCCACCGTGTACCCCTGGAGGAATGAAACGTTTTGCCGTAAGTAGCCGCAGTGGCAGCTCTGTGTGTGTGTGTGTGTGTGTGTGTGTGTGTGTGTGTGTGTGTGTTGCCTGAGTGTTCTTGTGGGTAGGAGGTGGCAGCCTTCTGTCTGTCCGTTGACATGCGATGTCATCCCATTCCGTTCATGCTTTAAGAGCCCCCTGATGTAGACACTGTGGTTATCCTGAGCCTAAGGGTAGAGATGGAAAGAGTGAGATTCAGAAAGTTGAGGTTCTAAGCCTGGGTGATGGCAACTCGAGTGTCGCAGAGGATCGGCATGCCGCCGATGTCTGGGAAAGGACAGCTGGCATCCCATCAGTGGCACCTTGCCTGACTCCCACCTGACAGCCGTCACTCAGAGATGAAGCGGCAGTGCTACTGTTCTGAATAGCCCCAGCCCTGCCCTAAGCGAGTCCTCCTGGTGCCCAGCTGGCCTGCCCCGCTCAGGAGAGCATCCTCGGTCAGTCTGGGTGAGAACCGGGCTGTGGCCGTGGGCACAGACGTGGTCTGCCCACACTTCTGCTCGCCCGGAAGGTTGGAGACCCATGTGTTCCCGCCTGGGCTCAGTGTCTGACCCATCGTCCCGTTGAGGTGCACCCTGGAGGCAGCAAGGGATGACTCATGCACTTGGGTGGGCACAGGGGTAGAAAAGAGGCCTGGTGTGTGCCATGTGAAATTCTGATTTGTCAGAAGCTGCTGTGTGAGACAGTGAAGGGTGTGGAATTTGGAGTGCCCCGAGTGAGACAGGAGAGTCCTTGGAGAAGGGCACAGGTTTCCTTCCGTTATGATGGTATTGGTTTAGTACTCTTGCAGCAGCTGTAAAGTTGCAACAAGTTGATATTTCGAGTGTGACCAAATCCTGCTTCCATTGCAATGTGGAAGAGCACTACATGCACAGGCAGAATGTCCGTGCACATGCAAGTGGATGTTTCAATCTGGTCCCGTGTAGCACCTCAGAGCCAACTGGACGGGGCCTACAATGTTAGTCCCAAGTGCTGTTCGACTGAAAGGAACGGTCATCATCAGTGTCCCAGCGGTCAAGTGTGTTCCCCAGGCCGCACTGGGCCATGGGGCGGCTCGTGGTGTGAGCGTTTCTGCATGTGTGTGAGCGCGTGTGAATGCACACGGAGGTGTGAGGGTCCCAGAGTGTATGTCGGAACGGGGAGTGTTGACGGATGGCCTCCCTGTCTCTGCTACAGCATCCAACTGCCCAGAACACAGCCACTACGAGGTGTGTGCCCAAGGCTGCCAGCCCACCTGCGGGAACCTCACGGTGACCGGAGCCTGTGGCTCTGCGTGCTACGAGAGCTGTGTGTGCGACGACGGCTTTGTGCTCAGCGGCAACTCGTGCGTGGCCCCAGAATCCTGCGGCTGTGTTCACAATGGCACCTACCACCCGCCAGGCCAGACCTTCTACCCTGGTCCCGAGTGTGACTCCCTTTGCACCTGCCAGGCGGGAGGCCAGCTGTCCTGCGAGCCCTCCTCCTGTGGCCCACAGGAGACCTGCCAGGTGTCTGATGGTGTCTTGGGCTGCGTGCCCGTGAGTTCTGCCACCTGCCAGGCCTCTGGAGACCCACACTACGTGACCTTCGACGGCCGCCGCTACGACTTCATGGGCGCCTGCGTGTACCTGCTGGCGGGCACGTGCGGCTCGAACAACATGACGCTGCCCGAGTTCCGGGTGCTGGTGGAGAATGAGCATCGGGGCAGCCAGGCCGTGAGCTACACGGGCGCCGTGCGGGTGGAGGTGTACGGCGTGGAGTTGGTCATGAGCCGGAAGAAGCCAGGACAAGTGATGGTGAGCTAAGGGCAAAGGCAGTGGGTGTCGCTGTGTTTGAGGAAAGGGTGAGGGAATGGGAAAGGGAAAGGAAAAGGATTTTGGGGTGAAGGTCCTGGGTCGGGCTGAGCTGGGAGCGTTGCTGCTGGTGAGGAAGGTAGCAGGGCTGCAGCAGAGGAAGGGGAGGTGCGGGGCGAGCCGAGCCGGGCTGTGGGTGTGGTGGTGGGAGGCAGGCGCAGAGCATGGTGGCTGAGAGGTGTGGGTTTCAGGTGGTGCCTGGAGAGTGAGGGGTTGGGTGGCGTTCCAGGCAGGAGAAGCAGCAGGTGCCAAGGCCCCTGGGGGGGCTGAGCACAGCCCGGAGACATGGTAGCCACACACGCCTGCAGGAACACCAGCTAGCTGACCCTCCTCATCCTTCTGGTCTCCTCCCTTCTCTCCCAGGTGGATGGTGTGCTTCAGTACCCTCCGTTTGAGGCCGCAGGAGGGCGCGTGCAGGTGAACCGCCTCGGTAACAACGCCGTGGTCCACACAGACTTTGGCCTGACTGTCACCTTCAACTGGGATGCTCTAGTGACTGTCAAGGTGCCCAGCAGCTACACAGATGCCATGTGTGGTCTCTGCGGGAACTTCAACGAGGACCCCAACGATGACTTGACTCTGCGGAATGGCAGCCAAACGACTGATGCCACAGACTTCGGGAACAGCTGGCAGGAGGAGGAGACGGGCCCGGGCTGTGAAGCGACTGGACCCACGAAGGAATGTCCCAACCTGGACGAGATGCTGAACGACCAGGTGCAGAAGAAGGAGAAGTGTGGAATCCTGGCCGACCCCAATGGTCCCTTCCGGGAGTGTCACCAACACGTGGATCCCCAGGGCGCTGTGCGCGACTGTGTCTATGACCTCTGCCTGGTACCAGAACAACCTGATGTGGCGTGTGACACATTGGTGGCATACGCTGCCGCGTGCCAGGCTGCCGGAGCCACCGTGTACCCCTGGAGGAATGAAACGTTTTGCCGTAAGTAGCCGCAGTGGCAGCTCTGTGTGTGTGTGTGTGTGTGTGTGTGTGTGTGTGTGTGTGTGTGTGTTGCCTGAGTGTTCTTGTGGGTAGGAGGTGGCAGCCTTCTGTCTGTCCGTTGACATGCGATGTCATCCCATTCCGTTCATGCTTTAAGAGCCCCCTGATGTAGACACTGTGGTTATCCTGAGCCTAAGGGTAGAGATGGAAAGAGTGAGATTCAGAAAGTTGAGGTTCTAAGCCTGGGGTGATGGCAACTCGAGTGTCGCAGAGGATCGGCATGCCGCCGATGTCTGGGAAAGGACAGCTGGCATCCCATCAGTGGCACCTTGCCTGACTCCCACCTGACAGCCGTCACTCAGAGATGAAGCGGCAGTGCTACTGTTCTGAATAGCCCCAGCCCTGCCCTAAGCGAGTCCTCCTGGTGCCCAGCTGGCCTGCCCCGCTCAGGAGAGCATCCTCGGTCAGTCTGGGTGAGAACCGGGCTGTGGCCGTGGGCACAGACGTGGTCTGCCCACACTTCTGCTCGCCCGGAAGGTTGGAGACCCATGTGTTCCCGCCTGGGCTCAGTGTCTGACCCATCGTCCCGTTGAGGTGCACCCTGGAGGCAGCAAGGGATGACTCATGCACTTGGGTGGGCACAGGGGTAGAAAAGAGGCCTGGTGTGTGCCATGTGAAATTCTGATTTGTCAGAAGCTGCTGTGTGAGACAGTGAAGGGTGTGGAATTTGGAGTGCCCCGAGTGAGACAGGAGAGTCCTTGGAGAAGGGCACAGGTTTCCTTCCGTTATGATGGTATTGGTTTAGTACTCTTGCAGCAGCTGTAAAGTTGCAACAAGTTGATATTTCGAGTGTGACCAAATCCTGCTTCCATTGCAATGTGGAAGAGCACTACATGCACAGGCAGAATGTCCGTGCACATGCAAGTGGATGTTTCAATCTGGTCCCGTGTAGCACCTCAGAGCCAACTGGACGGGGCCTACAATGTTAGTCCCAAGTGCTGTTCGACTGAAAGGAACGGTCATCATCAGTGTCCCAGCGGTCAAGTGTGTTCCCCAGGCCGCACTGGGCCATGGGGCGGCTCGTGGTGTGAGCGTTTCTGCATGTGTGTGAGCGCGTGTGAATGCACACGGAGGTGTGAGGGTCCCAGAGTGTATGTTGGAACGGGGAGTGTTGACGGATGGCCTCCCTGTCTCTGCTACAGCATCCAACTGCCCAGAACACAGCCACTACGAGGTGTGTGCCCAAGGCTGCCAGCCCACCTGCGGGAACCTCACGGTGACCGGAGCCTGTGGCTCTGCGTGCTACGAGAGCTGTGTGTGCGACGACGGCTTTGTGCTCAGCGGCAACTCGTGCGTGGCCCCAGAATCCTGCGGCTGTGTTCACAATGGCACCTACCACCCGCCAGGCCAGACCTTCTACCCTGGTCCCGAGTGTGACTCCCTTTGCACCTGCCAGGCGGGAGGCCAGCTGTCCTGCGAGCCCTCCTCCTGTGGCCCACAGGAGACCTGCCAGGTGTCTGATGGTGTCTTGGGCTGCGTGCCCGTGAGTTCTGCCACCTGCCAGGCCTCTGGAGACCCACACTACGTGACCTTCGACGGCCGCCGCTACGACTTCATGGGCGCCTGCGTGTACCTGCTGGCGGGCACGTGCGGCTCGAACAACATGACGCTGCCCGAGTTCCGGGTGCTGGTGGAGAATGAGCATCGGGGCAGCCAGGCCGTGAGCTACACGGGCGCCGTGCGGGTGGAGGTGTACGGCGTGGAGTTGGTCATGAGCCGGAAGAAGCCAGGACAAGTGATGGTGAGCTAAGGGCAAAGGCAGTGGGTGTCGCTGTGTTTGAGGAAAGGGTGAGGGAATGGGAAAGGGAAAGGAAAAGGATTTTGGGGTGAAGGTCCTGGGTCGGGCTGAGCTGGGAGCGTTGCTGCTGGTGAGGAAGGTAGCAGGGCTGCAGCAGAGGAAGGGGAGGTGCGGGGCGAGCCGAGCCGGGCTGTGGGTGTGGTGGTGGGAGGCAGGCGCAGAGCATGGTGGCTGAGAGGTGTGGGTTTCAGGTGGTGCCTGGAGAGTGAGGGGTTGGGTGGCGTTCCAGGCAGGAGAAGCAGCAGGTGCCAAGGCCCCTGGTGGGGCTGAGCACAGCCCGGAGACATGGTAGCCACACACGCCTGCAGGAACACCAGCTAGCTGACCCTCCTCATCCTTCTGGTCTCCTCCCTTCTCTCCCAGGTGGATGGTGTGCTTCAGTACCCTCCGTTTGAGGCCGCTGGAGGGCGCGTGCAGGTGAACCGCCTCGGTAACAACGCCGTGGTCCACACAGACTTTGGCCTGACTGTCACCTTCAACTGGGATGCTCTAGTGACTGTCAAGGTGCCCAGCAGCTACACAGATGCCATGTGTGGTCTCTGCGGGAACTTCAACGAGGACCCCAACGATGACTTGACTCTGCGGAATGGCAGCCAAACGACTGATGCCACAGACTTCGGGAACAGCTGGCAGGAGGAGGAGACGGGCCCGGGCTGTGAAGCGACTGGACCCACGAAGGAATGTCCCAACCTGGACGAGATGCTGAACGACCAGGTGCAGAAGAAGGAGAAGTGTGGAATCCTGGCCGACCCCAATGGTCCCTTCCGGGAGTGTCACCAACACGTGCAACCCGATGGCGCTGTGCGCGACTGTGTCTATGACCTCTGCCTGGTACCAGAACAACCTGATGTGGCGTGTGACACATTGGTGGCATACGCTGCCGCGTGCCAGGCTGCCGGAGCCACCGTGTACCCCTGGAGGAATGAAACGTTTTGCCGTGAGTAGCCGCAGTGGCAGCTCTGTGTGTGTGTGTGTGTGTGTGTGTGTGTGTGTGTGTGTGTATGTGTTGCCTGAGTGTTCTTGTGGGTAGGAGGTGGCAGCCTTCTGTCTGTCCGTTGACATGCGATGTCATCCCATTCCGTTCATGCTTTAAGAGCCCCCTGATGTAGACACTGTGGTTATCCTGAGCCTAAGGGTAGAGATGGAAAGAGTGAGATTCAGAAAGTTGAGGTTCTAAGCCTGGGGTGATGGCAACTCGAGTGTCGCAGAGGATCGGCATGCCGCCGATGTCTGGGAAAGGACAGCTGGCATCCCATCAGTGGCACCTTGCCTGACTCCCACCTGACAGCCGTCACTCAGAGATGAAGCGGCAGTGCTACTGTTCTGAATAGCCCCAGCCCTGCCCTAAGCGAGTCCTCCTGGTGCCCAGCTGGCCTGCCCCGCTCAGGAGAGCATCCTCGGTCAGTCTGGGTGAGAACCGGGCTGTGGCCGTGGGCACAGACGTGGTCTGCCCACACTTCTGCTCGCCCGGAAGGTTGGAGACCCATGTGTTCCCGCCTGGGCTCAGTGTCTGACCCATCGTCCCGTTGAGGTGCACCCTGGAGGCAGCAAGGGATGACTCATGCACTTGGGTGGGCACAGGGGTAGAAAAGAGGCCTGGTGTGTGCCATGTGAAATTCTGATTTGTCAGAAGCTGCTGTGTGAGACAGTGAAGGGTGTGGAATTTGGAGTGCCCCGAGTGAGACAGGAGAGTCCTTGGAGAAGGGCACAGGTTTCCTTCCGTTATGATGGTATTGGTTTAGTACTCTTGCAGCAGCTGTAAAGTTGCAACAAGTTGATATTTCGAGTGTGACCAAATCCTGCTTCCATTGCAATGTGGAAGAGCACTACATGCACAGGCAGAATGTCCGTGCACATGCAAGTGGATGTTTCAATCTGGTCCCGTGTAGCACCTCAGAGCCAACTGGACGGGGCCTACAATGTTAGTCCCAAGTGCTGTTCGACTGAAAGGAACGGTCATCATCAGTGTCCCAGCGGTCAAGTGTGTTCCCCAGGCCGCACTGGGCCATGGGGCGGCTCGTGGTGTGAGCGTTTCTGCATGTGTGTGAGCGCGTGTGAATGCACACGGAGGTGTGAGGGTCCCAGAGTGTATGTCGGAACGGGGAGTGTTGACGGATGGCCTCCCTGTCTCTGCTACAGCATCCAACTGCCCAGAACACAGCCACTACGAGGTGTGTGCCCAAGGCTGCCAGCCCACCTGCGGGAACCTCACGGTGACCGGAGCCTGTGGCTCTGCGTGCTACGAGAGCTGTGTGTGCGACGACGGCTTTGTGCTCAGCGGCAACTCGTGCGTGGCCCCAGAATCCTGCGGCTGTGTTCACAATGGCACCTACCACCCGCCAGGCCAGACCTTCTACCCTGGTCCCGAGTGTGACTCCCTTTGCACCTGCCAGGCGGGAGGCCAGCTGTCCTGCGAGCCCTCCTCCTGTGGCCCACAGGAGACCTGCCAGGTGTCTGATGGTGTCTTGGGCTGCGTGCCCGTGAGTTCTGCCACCTGCCAGGCCTCTGGAGACCCACACTACGTGACCTTCGACGGCCGCCGCTACGACTTCATGGGCGCCTGCGTGTACCTGCTGGCGGGCACGTGCGGCTCGAACAACATGACGCTGCCCGAGTTCCGGGTGCTGGTGGAGAATGAGCATCGGGGCAGCCAGGCCGTGAGCTACACGGGCGCCGTGCGGGTGGAGGTGTACGGCGTGGAGTTGGTCATGAGCCGGAAGAAGCCAGGACAAGTGATGGTGAGCTAAGGGCAAAGGCAGTGGGTGTCGCTGTGTTTGAGGAAAGGGTGAGGGAATGGGAAAGGGAAAGGAAAAGGATTTTGGGGTGAAGGTCCTGGGTCGGGCTGAGCTGGGAGCGTTGCTGCTGGTGAGGAAGGTAGCAGGGCTGCAGCAGAGGAAGGGGAGGTGCGGGGCGAGCCGAGCCGGGCTGTGGGTGTGGTGGTGGGAGGCAGGCGCAGAGCATGGTGGCTGAGAGGTGTGGGTTTCAGGTGGTGCCTGGAGAGTGAGGGGTTGGGTGGCGTTCCAGGCAGGAGAAGCAGCAGGTGCCAAGGCCCCTGGTGGGGCTGAGCACAGCCCGGAGACATGGTAGCCACACACGCCTGCAGGAACACCAGCTAGCTGACCCTCCTCATCCTTCTGGTCTCCTCCCTTCTCTCCCAGGTGGATGGCGTGCTTCAGTACCCTCCGTTTGAGGCCGCTGGAGGGCGCGTGCAGGTGAACCGCCTCGGTAACAACGCCGTGGTCCACACAGACTTTGGCCTGACTGTCACCTTCAACTGGGATGCTCTAGTGACTGTCAAGGTGCCCAGCAGCTACACAGATGCCATGTGTGGTCTCTGCGGGAACTTCAACGAGGACCCCAACGATGACTTGACTCTGCGGAATGGCAGCCAAACGACTGATGCCACAGACTTCGGGAACAGCTGGCAGGAGGAGGAGACGGGCCCGGGCTGTGAAGCGACTGGACCCACGAAGGAATGTCCCAACCTGGACGAGATGCTGAACGACCAGGTGCAGAAGAAGGAGAAGTGTGGAATCCTGGCCGACCCCAATGGTCCCTTCCGGGAGTGTCACCAACACGTGGATCCCCAGGGCGCTGTGCGCGACTGTGTCTATGACCTCTGCCTGGTACCAGAACAACCTGATGTGGCGTGTGACACATTGGTGGCATACGCTGCCGCGTGCCAGGCTGCCGGAGCCACCGTGTACCCCTGGAGGAACGAAACGTTTTGCCGTGAGTAGCCGCAGTGGCAGCTCTGTGTGTGTGTGTGTGTGTGTGTGTGTGTGTGTGTGTGTGTGTGTGTGTGTGTTGCCTGAGTGTTCTTGTGGGTAGGAGGTGGCAGCCTTCTGTCTGTCCGTTGACATGCGATGTCATCCCATTCCGTTCATGCTTTAAGAGCCCCCTGATGTAGACACTGTGGTTATCCTGAGCCTAAGGGTAGAGATGGAAAGAGTGAGATTCAGAAAGTTGAGGTTCTAAGCCTGGGATGATGGCAACTCGAGTGTCGCAGAGGATCGGCATGCCGCCGATGTCTGGGAAAGGACAGCTGGCATCCCATCAGTGGCACCTTGCCTGACTCCCACCTGACAGCCGTCACTCAGAGATGAAGCGGCAGTGCTACTGTTCTGAATAGCCCCAGCCCTGCCCTAAGCGAGTCCTCCTGGTGCCCAGCTGGCCTGCCCCGCTCAGGAGAGCATCCTCGGTCAGTCTGGGTGAGAACCGGGCTGTGGCCGTGGGCACAGACGTGGTCTGCCCACACTTCTGCTCGCCCGGAAGGTTGGAGACCCATGTGTTCCCGCCTGGGCTCAGTGTCTGACCCATCGTCCCGTTGAGGTGCACCCTGGAGGCAGCAAGGGATGACTCATGCACTTGGGTGGGCACAGGGGTAGAAAAGAGGCCTGGTGTGTGCCATGTGAAATTCTGATTTGTCAGAAGCTGCTGTGTGAGACAGTGAAGGGTGTGGAATTTGGAGTGCCCCGAGTGAGACAGGAGAGTCCTTGGAGAAGGGCACAGGTTTCCTTCCGTTATGATGGTATTGGTTTAGTACTCTTGCAGCAGCTGTAAAGTTGCAACAAGTTGATATTTCGAGTGTGACCAAATCCTGCTTCCATTGCAATGTGGAAGAGCACTACATGCACAGGCAGAATGTCCGTGCACATGCAAGTGGATGTTTCAATCTGGTCCCGTGTAGCACCTCAGAGCCAACTGGACGGGGCCTACAATGTTAGTCCCAAGTGCTGTTCGACTGAAAGGAACGGTCATCATCAGTGTCCCAGCGGTCAAGTGTGTTCCCCAGGCCGCACTGGGCCATGGGGCGGCTCGTGGTGTGAGCGTTTCTGCATGTGTGTGAGCGCGTGTGAATGCACACGGAGGTGTGAGGGTCCCAGAGTGTATGTCGGAACGGGGAGTGTTGACGGATGGCCTCCCTGTCTCTGCTACAGCATCCAACTGCCCAGAACACAGCCACTACGAGGTGTGTGCCCAAGGCTGCCAGCCCACCTGCGGGAACCTCACGGTGACCGGAGCCTGTGGCTCTGCGTGCTACGAGAGCTGTGTGTGCGACGACGGCTTTGTGCTCAGCGGCAACTCGTGCGTGGCCCCAGAATCCTGCGGCTGTGTTCACAATGGCACCTACCACCCGCCAGGCCAGACCTTCTACCCTGGTCCCGAGTGTGACTCCCTTTGCACCTGCCAGGCGGGAGGCCAGCTGTCCTGCGAGCCCTCCTCCTGTGGCCCACAGGAGACCTGCCAGGTGTCTGATGGTGTCTTGGGCTGCGTGCCCGTGAGTTCTGCCACCTGCCAGGCCTCTGGAGACCCACACTACGTGACCTTCGACGGCCGCCGCTACGACTTCATGGGCGCCTGCGTGTACCTGCTGGCGGGCACGTGCGGCTCGAACAACATGACGCTGCCCGAGTTCCGGGTGCTGGTGGAGAATGAGCATCGGGGCAGCCAGGCCGTGAGCTACACGGGCGCCGTGCGGGTGGAGGTGTACGGCGTGGAGTTGGTCATGAGCCGGAAGAAGCCAGGACAAGTGATGGTGAGCTAAGGGCAAAGGCAGTGGGTGTCGCTGTGTTTGAGGAAAGGGTGAGGGAATGGGAAAGGGAAAGGAAAAGGATTTTGGGGTGAAGGTCCTGGGTCGGGCTGAGCTGGGAGCGTTGCTGCTGGTGAGGAAGGTAGCAGGGCTGCAGCAGAGGAAGGGGAGGTGCGGGGCGAGCCGAGCCGGGCTGTGGGTGTGGTGGTGGGAGGCAGGCGCAGAGCATGGTGGCTGAGAGGTGTGGGTTTCAGGTGGTGCCTGGAGAGTGAGGGGTTGGGTGGCGTTCCAGGCAGGAGAAGCAGCAGGTGCCAAGGCCCCTGGTGGGGCTGAGCACAGCCCGGAGACATGGTAGCCACACACGCCTGCAGGAACACCAGCTAGCTGACCCTCCTCATCCTTCTGGTCTCCTCCCTTCTCTCCCAGGTGGATGGCGTGCTTCAGTACCCTCCGTTTGAGGCCGCTGGAGGGCGCGTGCAGGTGAACCGCCTCGGTAACAACGCCGTGGTCCACACAGACTTTGGCCTGACTGTCACCTTCAACTGGGATGCTCTAGTGACTGTCAAGGTGCCCAGCAGCTACACAGATGCCATGTGTGGTCTCTGCGGGAACTTCAACGAGGACCCCAACGATGACTTGACTCTGCGGAATGGCAGCCAAACGACTGATGCCACAGACTTCGGGAACAGCTGGCAGGAGGAGGAGACGGGCCCGGGCTGTGAAGCGACTGGACCCACGAAGGAATGTCCCAACCTGGACGAGATGCTGAACGACCAGGTGCAGAAGAAGGAGAAGTGTGGAATCCTGGCCGACCCCGAAGGTCCCTTCCGGGAGTGTCACCAACACGTGGATCCCCAGGGCGCTGTGCGCGACTGTGTCTATGACCTCTGCCTGGTACCAGAACAACCTGATGTGGCGTGTGACACATTGGTGGCATACGCTGCCGCGTGCCAGGCTGCCGGAGCCACCGTGTACCCCTGGAGGAACGAAACGTTTTGCCGTAAGTAGCCGCAGTGGCAGCTCTGTGTGTGTGTGTGTGTGTGTGTGTGTGTGTGTGTGTGTGTGTGTGTGTTGCCTGAGTGTTCTTGTGGGTAGGAGGTGGCAGCCTTCTGTCTGTCCGTTGACATGCGATGCCATCCAATTCCGTTCATGCTTTAAGAGCCCCCTGATGTAGACACTGTGGTTATCCTGAGCCTAAGGGTAGAGATGGAAAGAGTGAGATTCAGAAAGTTGAGGTTCTAAGCCTGGGATGATGGCAACTCGAGTGTCGCAGAGGATCGGCATGCCGCCGATGTCTGGGAAAGGACAGCTGGCATCCCATCAGTGGCACCTTGCCTGACTCCCACCTGACAGCCGTCACTCAGAGATGAAGCGGCAGTGCTACTGTTCTGAATAGCCCCAGCCCTGCCCTAAGCGAGTCCTCCTGGTGCCCAGCTGGCCTGCCCCGCTCAGGAGAGCATCCTCGGTCAGTCTGGGTGAGAACCGGGCTGTGGCCGTGGGCACAGACGTGGTCTGCCCACACCTCTGCTCGCCCGGAAGGTTGGAGACCCATGTGTTCCCGCCTGGGCTCAGTGTCTGACCCATGGTCCCGTTGAGGTGCACCCTGGAGGCAGCAAGGGATGACTCATGCACTTGGGTGGGCACAGGGGTAGAAAAGAGGCCTGGTGTGTGCCATGTGAAATTCTGATTTGTCAGAAGCTGCTGTGTGAGACAGTGAAGGGTGTGGAATTTGGAGTGCCCCGAGTGAGACAGGAGAGTCCTTGGAGAAGGGCACAGGTTTCCTTCCGTTATGATGGTATTGGTTTAGTACTCTTGCAGCAGCTGTAAAGTTGCAACAAGTTGATATTTCGAGTGTGACCAAATCCTGCTTCCATTGCAATGTGGAAGAGCACTACATGCACAGGCAGAATGTCCGTGCACATGCAAGTGGATGTTTCAATCTGGTCCCGTGTAGCACCTCAGAGCCAACTGGACGGGGCCTACAATGTTAGTCCCAAGTGCTGTTCGACTGAAAGGAACGGTCATCATCAGTGTCCCAGCGGTCAAGTGTGTTCCCCAGGCCGCACTGGGCCATGGGGCGGCTCGTGGTGTGAGCGTTTCTGCATGTGTGTGAGCGCGTGTGAATGCACACGGAGGTGTGAGGGTCCCAGAGTGTATGTCGGAACGGGGAGTGTTGACGGATGGCCTCCCTGTCTCTGCTACAGCATCCAACTGCCCAGAACACAGCCACTACGAGGTGTGTGCCCAAGGCTGCCAGCCCACCTGCGGGAACCTCACGGTGACCGGAGCCTGTGGCTCTGCGTGCTACGAGAGCTGTGTGTGCGACGACGGCTTTGTGCTCAGCGGCAACTCGTGCGTGGCCCCAGAATCCTGCGGCTGTGTTCACAATGGCACCTACCACCCGCCAGGCCAGACCTTCTACCCTGGTCCCGAGTGTGACTCCCTTTGCACCTGCCAGGCGGGAGGCCAGCTGTCCTGCGAGCCCTCCTCCTGTGGCCCACAGGAGACCTGCCAGGTGTCTGATGGTGTCTTGGGCTGCGTGCCCGTGAGTTCTGCCACCTGCCAGGCCTCTGGAGACCCACACTACGTGACCTTCGACGGCCGCCGCTACGACTTCATGGGCGCCTGCGTGTACCTGCTGGCGGGCACGTGCGGCTCGAACAACATGACGCTGCCCGAGTTCCGGGTGCTGGTGGAGAATGAGCATCGGGGCAGCCAGGCCGTGAGCTACACGGGCGCCGTGCGGGTGGAGGTGTACGGCGTGGAGTTGGTCATGAGCCGGAAGAAGCCAGGACAAGTGATGGTGAGCTAAGGGCAAAGGCAGTGGGTGTCGCTGTGTTTGAGGAAAGGGTGAGGGAATGGGAAAGGGAAAGGAAAAGGATTTTGGGGTGAAGGTCCTGGGTCGGGCTGAGCTGGGAGCGTTGCTGCTGGTGAGGAAGGTAGCAGGGCTGCAGCAGAGGAAGGGGAGGTGCGGGGCGAGCCGAGCCGGGCTGTGGGTGTGGTGGTGGGAGGCAGGTGCAGAGCATGGTGGCTGAGAGGTGTGGGTTTCAGGTGGTGCCTGGAGAGTGAGGGGTTGGATGGCGTTCCAGGCAGGAGAAGCAGCAGGTGCCAAGGCCCCTGGTGGGGCTGAGCACAGCCCGGAGACATGGTAGCCACACACGCCTGCAGGAACACCAGCTAGCTGACCCTCCTCATCCTTCTGGTCTCCTCCCTTCTCTCCCAGGTGGATGGCGTGCTTCAGTACCCTCCGTTTGAGGCCGCTGGAGGGCGCGTGCAGGTGAACCGCCTCGGTAACAACGCCGTGGTCCACACAGACTTTGGCCTGACTGTCACCTTCAACTGGGATGCTCTAGTGACTGTCAAGGTGCCCAGCAGCTACACAGATGCCATGTGTGGTCTCTGCGGGAACTTCAACGAGGACCCCAACGATGACTTGACTCTGCGGAATGGCAGCCAAACGACTGATGCCACAGACTTCGGGAACAGCTGGCAGGAGGAGGAGACGGGCCCGGGCTGTGAAGCGACTGGACCCACGAAGGAATGTCCCAACCTGGACGAGATGCTGAACGACCAGGTGCAGAAGAAGGAGAAGTGTGGAATCCTGGCCGACCCCGAAGGTCCCTTCCGGGAGTGTCACCAACACGTGGATCCCCAGGGCGCTGTGCGCGACTGTGTCTATGACCTCTGCCTGGTACCAGAACAACCTGATGTGGCGTGTGACACATTGGTGGCATACGCTGCCGCGTGCCAGGCTGCCGGAGCCACCGTGTACCCCTGGAGGAACGAAACGTTTTGCCGTGAGTAGCCGCAGTGGCAGCTCTGTGTGTGTGTGTGTGTGTGTATGTGTGTGTGTGTGTGTGTGTGTATGTGTTGCCTGAGTGTTCTTGTGGGTAGGAGGTGGCAGCCTTCTGTCTGTCCATTGACATGCGATGCCATCCAATTCCGTTCATGCTTTAAGAGCCCCCTGATGTAGACACTGTGGTTATCCTGAGCCTAAGGGTAGAGATGGAAAGAGTGAGATTCAGAAAGTTGAGGTTCCAAGCCTGGGATGATTGCAACTCGAGTGTCGCAGAGGATCGGCATGCCGCCGATGTCTGGGAAAGGACAGCTGGCATCCCATCAGTGGCACCTTGCCTGACTCCCACCTGACAGCCGTCACTCAGAGATGAAGCGGCAGTGCTACTGTTCTGAATAGCCCCAGCCCTGCCCTAAGCGAGTCCTCCTGGTGCCCAGCTGGCCTGCCCCGCTCAGGAGAGCATCCTCGGTCAGTCTGGGTGAGAACCGGCTGTGGCCGTGGGCACAGACGTGGTCTGCCCACACCTCTGCTCGCCCGGAAGGTTGGAGACCCATGTGTTCCCGCCTGGGCTCAGTGTCTGACCCATGGTCCCGTTGAGGTGCACCCTGGAGGCAGCAAGGGATGACTCATGCACTTGGGTGGGCACAGGGGTAGAAAAGAGGCCTGGTGTGTGCCATGTGAAATTCTGATTTGTCAGAAGCTGCTGTGTGAGACAGTGAAGGGTGTGGAATTTGGAGTGCCCCGAGTGAGACAGGAGAGTCCTTGGAGAAGGGCACAGGTTTCCTTCCGTTATGATGGTATTGGTTTAGTACTCTTGCAGCAGCTGTAAAGTTGCAACAAGTTGATATTTCGAGTGTGACCAAATCCTGCTTCCATTGCAATGTGGAAGAGCACTACATGCACAGGCAGAATGTCCGTGCACATGCAAGTGGATGTTTCAATCTGGTCCCGTGTAGCACCTCAGAGCCAACTGGACGGGGCCTACAATGTTAGTCCCAAGTGCTGTTCGACTGAAAGGAACGGTCATCATCAGTGTCCCAGCGGTCAAGTGTGTTCCCCAGGCCGCACTGGGCCATGGGGCGGCTCGTGGTGTGAGCGTTTCTGCATGTGTGTGAGCGCGTGTGAATGCACACGGAGGTGTGAGGGTCCCAGAGTGTATGTCGGAACGGGGAGTGTTGACGGATGGCCTCCCTGTCTCTGCTACAGCATCCAACTGCCCAGAACACAGCCACTACGAGGTGTGTGCCCAAGGCTGCCAGCCCACCTGCGGGAACCTCACGGTGACCGGAGCCTGTGGCTCTGCGTGCTACGAGAGCTGTGTGTGCGACGACGGCTTTGTGCTCAGCGGCAACTCGTGCGTGGCCCCAGAATCCTGCGGCTGTGTTCACAATGGCACCTACCACCCGCCAGGCCAGACCTTCTACCCTGGTCCCGAGTGTGACTCCCTTTGCACCTGCCAGGCGGGAGGCCAGCTGTCCTGCGAGCCCTCCTCCTGTGGCCCACAGGAGACCTGCCAGGTGTCTGATGGTGTCTTGGGCTGCGTGCCCGTGAGTTCTGCCACCTGCCAGGCCTCTGGAGACCCACACTACGTCAGCTTTGATGGCCGCTACTTCGATTTCATGGGCACCTGTGTGTATGTGCTGGCTAAGAGCTGTGGCAACTCTTCTGATCTGCCAGAATTCACCGTCTTGCAGGACAATGAGCCATGGGGCAATGGATATGCCAGCGCTACCAAGGCCATTACCGTCTTAGTTGGCAACTACACCATATTCTTGGAGCAGAACCAACGAAAGGTTTTGGTAAGAATGTGTGCGTTGCAGTGGTGTTAGGACCTGTTTTCCCTTCTTCATACTGTGTCTGCTGTCTGCACCCTCCAGGCTCTCTGCTTCCTGTTGTTTGTGCTATGTACTATCCCCTCTTCCTCCTCCATGCCCTCCGCTATCAGCCTATAGTGCAGGTGCTAATATCCTGGACCAGGTTGTACTCTGAGGTTGGAAATGTTTAAAGAGAGGGCACACTCTAAGAAGATTAGATCATGTGTATCAGAGGAACTTGTCATGTTAATACCTATAGCAACCTCAGTAACAGCCACATCCATAGACGTAGGCTCATTCCTTGTCCTACTGGCCACTGGTCAGCATGTGGAGAACAAGGAGACAGAGACAGAGAGAGAAATATCTTTCTTCCATCTTGTTGTTTACTCCCCAAATACTTGCAGTTCTTGGAGCTGTACCAGGTTGAAACCAGGTGCGGGAACTGTATACAGGTTTCACACATGGGTGCAGGGGCCCAAGGACTTTGTGCCTCCTCCACTACTTTCCCAGGTACATTAACAGGGAGCTGGATTAGAATTGGATCTGGCATGACTTAACCGGTGCCCATATGGGATATGGTGTCACCAGCAGTGGTTTAACTTGCTATACCACAACACCAACCGCTTGAATTCACATTTTGAGATTGAATAGACATATATGTTGGGGACTGGGGGTGTTGTTCAGTCTCCCTACTAGACCCTGTTGTTATACCCATTTCACAAATGCAGAAACTGAAACCTGAGAGGGAGTCCCTGCAGGCCTTTCCTGTCAGGCAGGGAGGCTCTAGTGGGCACCTCTTACAGCATGTTCCCCCTGCCTGCCAGGTGAACGGTGTGGCCCTGACACCGCCCATGGAGTTGGAGGAAGGCCAGATCCGCATCTACCAGCATGGGTCTGACATCGTGGTAGAGACCGACTTTGGCCTGCGCGTGGCCTATGACCTCATGTACTACGTGCGGGTCACTGTGCCGGGCAGCTACCAACAGCACCTGTGTGGCCTGTGTGGAGACTACAATGACAACCCCACAGATGACTTCCAGAAGCCCGACGGCTCACAGGCGACCAACCCCAATGACTTTGGTAACTCCTGGGAGGAGGACGTGCCGGGCTCATCCTGCCAGTCACCCCCCGACTGCAGCACCTGGGATGGTGATATCTGTGAGGACAACAAGTGCAGCGAGGAGCTGGAGACGCAATACAAGGGCGAGGAATACTGCGGGTTTCTCACCAGCGCCACAGGCCCGCTGGCCTCCTGCCACGCCCTGCTGGACCCTACCGGCTTCTTGAAGGACTGTGTCTTTGACCTCTGCCAGTCCAAGGGTAGCCTAGATATCCTGTGCAGCAACCTCCATGCCTACGTGAGTGCTTGCCAGGCAACTGGAGGCCAAGTGGATTCCTGGAGGAATGATACTTTCTGTCGTGAGTGAGAGGGATGCGGTGGGGGAGGGGAACGACCCTGAGGGAAGCAGGGTAGAGAAGGGGAGGCTGTTGAGGGATTGGAGGCCCCGGGGGGGGGTCCTCCCTCCCTGTGCAGGAGCTCTGACAGGCATCCCCCTTCCTTGCAGCGCTGAAGTGCCCCCCCAACAGCCACTATGAGCTGTGTGCCGACACCTGCTCCCAGAGCTGCTCAGCTCGCAATGCCTCCCTCAAGTGCCCAGATGGCTGTGCGGAGGGCTGCCAATGTAACCCCAACTTCTTCTACAATGGCACATCGTGTGTGCCCGCCCAGGAGTGTGGCTGCTACCACAATGGCATCAACTTCGAGGTGGGTACCCAGCCTTTCCCACCCCAGGAGGCACACTGGAGACAGCCTCCTGGGTCTCCCTCCCACCACCCCTCAGCCCCACAGGGCACCAGTGCCTCTCGTCCTCCCCACTGTGAGGCAGCACTTGGTCCAGTCTTCCCCACCTCCATCCCTCCTGGCCCCATGCTCTTCCCTCGGGTCCACTGTGGAGAAGATCTTCCAAGTGTAACTTTGAACCCTCCCCTGACTGCCCAGGTCAAGTTTTGGCTTTTGTAGCGCAGACTTGGACAAGGAGGAAATTATGCCTCTATCTCCCCTGCCAATTCTGCTTCTCTCCTCCACTCTCACTGTTGCTCCCTTTCTTGAGGAGGGGGTTAATGATTTTATGTTTTTAATTTTTCATTTTATTTGAAAGAGAAACCATTCACCCACTGGTTCATTGTTCAAATGCCCACAACAGCCAGGGCTGGGACTCGGAACTCCATCCAGGACTCCTCCATGAGCCTTGGAGCCATCCCCTTAGCAGGAAGTGGATGAAAATGGAAGAGCCGGGACTAGACAGACCCAGCTCTCATGTGGAATATAGGCGCCTCCCCACCATCCCTCAAGCAGCAGCTTAGGCTCCTGGGCAAGCACCTGCCCCCATGGGTCCTTTTCATCAAGCTGAGGAAGAATGTGTCTGCCGTGAGGCTCCCTGTAAGCTCTCTAAGAGGGCAGGGGCTCTGTCTCGTTCTCCTCCCATGAATGATGCCAACGATGCATCCCTGGTAAAGAGGAAATACGGAGGCTGCTTTAAATGCTGTATGCATGTGCTATACTCGCACCGCCTCTGTCGACTTTTTATTACAAGAACATTCGGATGTGCGGAGGACGATGGAGGGAAGCTCCGTGTGTCCACTCATCTCTGCGCTGCACGATAACGTCACCACTTCCCTCAGTCTCATTTGTCCCGATCGGGATGACAGCAAGGCAGCCTCTTTTTATTGCCTATGTGTCCTACTCATAGCCTTACATAGGCAGATATTGGAATCATCTGGAAGAATTAGATGAGGAATCTGCCCAGAGTTGGACAGTTTGGAAACAGCAGAGTGGCTTTCCACCCAGGCTGTTGGCACTGAGTTACCCATTCCCTGCTTCCTCCCACACACCATGAGTTTGCAGAATGTATGAGTGAATGAGTCCATGTATGGAAGTAAATGAGTGAATTGGGTCCCAAGGTCATAGGCAAAGGGAGAGACCCCTGTTCCTGTCCCTAGCTGCCACCCGCAGAGTCTCTGATGGGCTGCGCCTTGTGTCCCCACAGCCGGAGCAGACGGTGCTGACTGACAACTGCCAGCAAGAGTGTGTTTGCCATGAGGGTGTCCTGACGTGCCAGGCACACAGCTGTGAGCCTGGGCAGTTGTGCCAGCCCTCGGGAGGCATCCTGAGCTGTGTCACCAAAGGTGCTTGGCTGGGACTGGGGCAGAGGCAGGGGTGGGAAGGGACAAAGGACACAGAGCCAGGCACTGAGGAGGGGAATGAGGGGATGTCTCTAACGGAACAGCCTGTTCCTGCAACCAGCTAAGGATTGAGGTCTCCAACCTGTGTGGGCGGGTGGGTGAGATGGGGGTCCCTGGACTGGATTTATCAGGGCCAGGAACAGAGACCCCCACTCCTGCAACCTTGTATATGGGAACCTTCAGGGCTAAGTATTCCTTAGTCACTGTCACATACCTTTAGTATAAGGCAGGTCTGGATTATCCTCCAAGGCCATGAGACATACACATGAGGGTTCCCAGGCCTCAGTCTGCAATGCTACAATCCCAGAAAGTTCTCTGTGACCTTGGAGTTGGGCACAGAGACTTCTGAGACATGAGTCTTAGGGGTGAGCCAAAGTTCTCTGGCATATCTGGCACAGGGCTGGCAGCAGCTATGTCTACACTGGATGGTCCCTCAAGGTTTTCTCTCCTCTTCCCCTGCCTCCAGATCCATGCCAAGACGTAACCTGCCCTCCCCAGACGACATGCAAGGAGCAGAACGGCCAGGGTGTGTGTGTGTCCAACTCCGGAACCACGTGCTGGCTGTGGGGCGACCCACATTACCACTCCTTCGACGGCTACAACTTTGACTTCCAAGGCACCTGCAGCTACGTGCTGGCAGAGGTCGGTGACTGCCCGGGTGTGGACGCTGGGAACCTAACACACTTTGCCATCACCACCAAGAACGAAAACCGAGGCAACCCGTCCGTGTCCTTCGTGAAGCTGGTCACTGTGACTGTCCTGGACGTGAACATCTCCATCTACAAGGGCGAGATCGGCAAAGTCAGGGTATGTGTGTAGCAAGACGGTCCCCCATTCACACTCTCCACCTCCTACCAGGAGGGCCAGATGAACTCCAACAGGCCCGTTAGGGAGCACAAGGTTCCATGTCTTCCCCTAGGCCACCAAACAGCAATATTTCATGCATACCTCTCCCTTTTTCTGAAAACTGAACAAATCTAGTCCTGGACTGAGGGCTTCAGTGTTTGTCTCTTGGTAGAGCTGAGTTGGAATCCCAGCTCTGCTCCCGTATGTGATAATGGGCAATTGATTACATCTGCTGGGCCTTAGCTCCCTCATCTAGAAACAGGGCATCAATTACCCTACCATGAGATGGTATGTGACAGGTGCCCGGTGAGTACCCAGCAAGCAAAGCAGAGATCCCGACACAGGCAGAGACACAGGGGGCAGAGAGATGGGCCTGCACGTGTTTCTGCTCAGAGAAGAGCAGTGCAGATTCCCTGGAAGTTCATGGGGAGAGAGTGCAGTGTGGGTTAGGGTTGGGGACCAGTGATTGGTCAAGAGGGCTGTCCAGACACACAGCCAAGCACAGAGCATGCAGGGTACGGTGGGGGGAAAGAGACAAGGTTAGAGACAGGAGGGAGACCAGGCACCCCGAGAAAGAGAGAGAAACTTGGATACAGGTGAAAGTCCAGAGAGGTAGACCCTGGCGAAGATACAGGGAGAGACAAGAGAGAGGAAGAAGACGGAGAGCGAGAGAGAACGAGAGAAAGAGAGGAGAATAAGAACGAGCCAGAAAAAGAAACAGACATGAGCTCCCCCTGTCCAGTGCCCAGTCATGATATTTGTCAAATGTCTATGTGAGCTTCAATGATGTGAAAGGCCGCCGTAGGCCCCCAGCCTCCATCAGGATGAAGCAGGGAGCCAGTGGCCAGGGCTGGAATGATTGACGCGTCCCTTTTCCCCACCCTCCACCAGGTGAATGGCGTGTTGACAACGTTGCCTGTCTCATTGGCCAATGGGCAGATCTCAGTGACCCAGGGTGTCTCTAAGGCAATACTGGTGACTGACTTCGGGCTACAGGTCACCTACGACTGGGACTGGCGTGTGGAGGTGACGCTGCCCAACAGCTACCTTGGCGCGGTGTGCGGGCTCTGCGGGAACATGGATGGCGATCCCAGCAATGACCAAGTCTTCCCCAATGGCACAGCTGCCCCCTCCATCCCGGAATGGGGTGGCAGCTGGCAAACCCCAGACTGGGACTCACAGTGCTGGGATGAGTGTCAGGGGTCCTGCCCAACATGTACCGAGGACCAGAAGAAGAAGTACCAGGGCTCTGATTTCTGCGGACCCCTGGCCCCTGGAATCGAGGGCCTCTTCTCCAAGTGCCACTCTTATGTGCCACCCGACATCTACTTCGAGGGCTGCGTTCTAGACGTGTGCCTGGGCGGCGGGGATCGGGACATACTTTGCAAGGCACTGGCTGCCTATGCTGCTCTTTGCCAGGCTGCTGGCGCTGAGCTCCAGGACTGGAGGAAGCAGCTCAAGTGTGGTGAGGATGGGAGAGGAAGCAGGAGGGGTTTGGGGAGGTGTAGGTGGTGCTGTCTCTGGTTGGACTGTGCTTGCTTGATTTTTCTGGGTCTTTCTCCCATCCAAGTACTAACCAGGCCCGACCCTGCTTAACTTCCGAGATCAGATGAGATCGGACGCGTTCAGGGTGGTATGGCCGTAGACTGATTTTTCTGAGTCTTTCTTTTGCTTCTCTTACAGTCTTTGCTTCTCTTTGTGTCTCGCCCTTGGCACTTCTGTTGGGGTGGAGTGTGAGGGGACTCTGTCTCTTTCCATCTCTGTCTGCCTCTTTGCTTCTGTGTTTTCCCACCATGTGCTTGGATCCTATCCTCACACCCCCCGCCCCATCTCTCTCCCACCACAGAGATCACCTGCCCTGACCACAGCCACTACGAGCTCTGTGGCTCACCCTGCCCGGCCACCTGCTCATCCCCTGAGAACACCACGACCTCCGCCCTGTGCCAGGGTCCCTGCGTCGAGGGCTGCCAGTGCGACACAGGCTTCGTGCTGAGCGGCGACCGCTGTGTGTCCCTGGAGGATGGCTGTGGCTGCTGGGAAAACGGCATCTACTATGAGAGGGGCAGCGAGTTCTGGACCGACGCCACCTGCTCCGAGCGGTGCCGCTGTGAACCTGCCTGTGGCTCGCTGATCTGCATGTCCTCCAGGTGTGGAAAAGGTGAAGAGTGTGCCTTGCAGCCCTCGGGCGAGTACAGCTGCCAGCCAGAGAGCATAGCCGAGTGCCAGGCCTGGGGTGACCCCCACTACGTCACCCTGGATGGGCATCAGTTTGACTTCCAGGGCGCCTGCGAGTACCTGCTCAGTGCGCCATGCTCCAAGCTGCCAGAAGGGACCGAGAAGTTCAACGTCACTGTGGCCAATCAGCAGCTGGGCAACCAGGCTGTCAGCTACACCCACAGCGTCACTCTGTACATCTATGACCATAGCTTGACCCTCAGCGCCAGCTGGCCTCAGCAGCTACAGGTGAGAAGCTAGTAGCGGGAGGGTGAGGAGGGAGTTTGGGCCAGATAGGAGCAGGTGCCAGCGCTGGGGCTGCCTGGGATAGTGAGAGCTCTGTTTTACCCCTGAATGTGTTTTGTAAGCCGGCCTGGGGTCTGAGCATAGTCCTAGGAGCCAGATGGCTGTAGGCAGTGGTTTGCCTTTCTCTGAACCACAGTCAACTTCTCTGTGAAATGGGCCTACAAAACCATCAGCTCTCAGGTGGCATAAAGAGCCGATGTCGGTAGATGTTGGTTATTGCTACTCATGTGCTCAGGGTCCCACAGCCTGTAGTTGGTCAAGCTGGGACTCCAACCTGTGGTTCCCACAGCTGACTTCTGCTCCACTCCTCTCCAATGCCTGCAGGTGGATGGCCGGTTAGTGACACTGCCCTACCAGCTGGACTCACGCTTGAATGCGTACTTGAGTGGCATCGATGTGGTGGTGACCACCGCTGCCGGGATCTCGCTGAGCTACGGGGACAGCTTCGTGCGCCTCCACGTGCCCTCGGTGTATGCCCACGCCCTCTGTGGCCTGTGTGGGAACTACAATCAGGACCCCTCAGATGACCTGACCGACAAAAAGCCAGAGGACTGGCAAGTGGGTGGGGAACCAGGCTGTGGGTTGTGTGAGTCCGGGTCGTGCCCAGAGCCGTGCACGCCCGAGGAGCAGGAGGCCTTCAGAGACGCCTGCAGTGTGATCTCGGACCCCAAAGGCCCACTGGCCCCTTGCCACAGCTTCCTGCCACCGGAGCAGTACTTCCAGGGCTGCTTGCTGGACGCTTGCCAGACTCAGGGCCATGAGAGTGGCCTCTGCACTGCCGTGGCCTCCTATGTGACAGCCTGCCAGGCCGCTGGTGCCCAACTGGAGGACTGGAGACAGCCAGGCTTCTGTGGTGAGTACCTGGTTGGTTGGTTTGCTTAAGATGTGTTTATTTCTATTGGAAAGGCAGATTTTCAGAAAGAAGGAGAGACAGAAAGATCTTCTATCTGCTGGTTTACTCCCCAGAAGGCTGCCATGGCTGGAGCTGAGCCGATCTGAAGCCAGGAACCAGATTACTTCTGGTTTCCCATGTGGGTGCAGGGTCCCAAGGCTTTGCGCCATCCTCTAGTGCTTTCCCAGGCCACAAGCAGGGAGCTGGATGGGAACTGGAGCAGTCAGGACATGAACTGGCACCCATGTGGGATCCCTGTGCTTGCAATGGGAGGATTAACCAATCGATTCATTGCGCTGGGCCTGAGTGCCTGGTTTTTACCTGGTCCACACAACAGAAGCTTTCTTCCCTTCTGCCCACTTCCACCCCAGTGTTGTCCTCCCAGGATTCTGGGACAAGGGTCTTCCCTCTTCCCAGGGCTGGGGAAACAGCTGAGTGCCCTGAGCCATGGGTATCTGGTTATTTGATGTACCGAGACTAATTGAGCAGGCACACCCCAGGTCAGGCTGACATATCCCTGGGGACAGCTGGGTCCACATGCAAGGTTAGTCCTGGTCAGTCGATGTCCTAGCCGTCCCTGCTGGGCATCCCATCTCCTTGGTCAAGTTCATCCTGGCAGTGTCAAATAATCAGACATGAGCTGTAGGTTTGGTTTCTCCCGCATCCCCTCCTCGCCACCACCTACCAAGGCAGGCTGGATCAGAGACTTGGGCAGATGCGTGGAGAGGCCATCGCCCCTGGCTCCAGATTTGAGATGGCCGAGGCAGATCCTGTGCGATACTGGACCTTTAGAAGTCATAGGGCATAATGCATGTCACTGTGTGGAAGGTCCCTGGGTGGGACCCCATTCCTTCCCGCACTGGGGCAGATGGTCTCACTCAAGGCCCATCTTGTGTCTGCAGCTCCTCAGTGCCCAGCCCACAGTCACTACGAGCTCTGTGGCGACTCCTGCTCTGTAAGCTGCCCCACTCTCTCGGCACCCGAGGGCTGCAAGTCCACATGCCGCGAGGGCTGCTTCTGTGATGCTGGCTACGTGCTCAGCGGTGACACCTGCGTGCCCCTGGGCCAGTGTGGCTGCCTCCATGAGGGCCACTACTACCCGCTGGGTGCCACCTTCTACCCGGGCCCCGAGTGTGAGCGGTACTGTGAGTGCGGCCCAGATGGCCTCGTCAGCTGCCAGGAGGGTGTAGCCTGTGGGCCCTACGAGGAGTGCAAAGTGCAGAACGGCATCCAGGCCTGCTATCCCAAGGGCTCTGGTCACTGCCTGGCCGACGGGGGCATCCACTACGTCTCCCTGGATGGACACGCCTACGACCTGCACGGCTCCTGCTCCTACATCTTGGCCCAGGTCTGCCAGCCGGAGCCTGGAGATGAAGACTTCACCATCATCCTGGAGAAGGACGCGGCTGGAGAGCCGAAGGGCCTGCTGGTGACTGTGGCCAACCAGGTGGTGAGCCTGGATTTGGGGCTACAGGTGAGTGGATGAGACATTGCCCTGCCATTCCCCATTTCCTGCAGGGGCTCCATCTTGAGTATTCCAAGGGGGCCCCACTCCCCTGGGAAGTCTGAGTGCAGAAGGAGGGGGACACGACTCCCCACAGGGCCCATGCAGGGTGGTCCCTGGGACTGTAGGGGGTGGACAGCTTTCTGGAGTGTCTAAGAATCCTCCTTTCTTCACTCCCCTCTCCACCAGGTCACCATAGATGGCGAAGAGATGGCCCTGCCTGTGGCCGTGGGCCATGTGCGGGTGACTGCCGAGGGCCGCAACCTGATCCTGCAGACCACCGGGGGGCTGCGGCTGCTCTTCAACAGCAACGCCCACGTCCTCATCTCCATCCCCAGCACCTTCCATGGCCGTGTGTGCGGCCTCTGCGGCAACTTCAACGGCAACTGGACTGATGACTTTGTCCTGCCCGGAGGCACGGTTGCTCCCGATGCTGAGGCCTTCGGAGCTGAGTGGAGAGCACCTGGCTCCTCTGAGGATTGCAGTGAGGGCTGTGGCACCCAGGACTGCCCCACGTGCTCAGCGGACGAGACGGCTGCCTACGAGAGCAGTGAGATCTGTGGGAAGCTGCTCGATGCCAACGGCACCTTCGCCAGCTGCCACGAGGTGCTGAGTCCATCTGAGTACTTCCGCCAGTGTGTCTACGACCTGTGCGCCAGCAAGGGCAACATGACCAGCCTCTGCCACAGCCTGGCCGCCTATGTGGCTGACTGCCAGGCAGCCGGCGTGACCATGAAACCCTGGAGGACGGACAGTTTCTGCCGTGAGTGTCCTTGGGGTCCTGGGGAAGGATACCTCCTGTCTGTCCACCTCCTCTGACTGTATCTCAGGAGCATCCTCTCCCTGTGAAAGTCCTCTCCCTGCGCCCCCAACACCTCATTTCTGCTGGCTCTCTCAGCCTCCTCTGACTGCCCCTTCTCAGGCTCCTATCTAGGGGTCAACTCTCCCCCAAACCTCACTTTGTCTCTGTCCTGGGTGTTTTCTCACCCTGCTGTGTCTGGAATTTATGCGGACCCTGGAGATGAGAGCAAGTTTTCTCCAAGCACCCAGGACAAAGCTGCAGCCTGTCAGACACCCCCACCTCAAAAAAAGATTGCACCTCACTGTCATAGGGCAAGGAATGGCTCCTGTCCTGTTCTGCCGCCAGGGTCAGCTTGGGTCTCTTCTGGGCTGGACCCCTACCCAGGATCCTTGACCACTGCATAGCTTTGGACTTGCCATGCGTGGTGACCGTGGACACTGTCACCAGCTCCCCTGACTGCTAGCCGTGGGGAGGGAGTGATCGAATGGGAGTGCCTTCCCTTCCTTGTCCGTAGACTCTCCTGCACCTGCTATGGTCCCAGGTGATGTCAGTATTACATCCCCAACCGGTCCTCCTTTCCTTGGCCCCAGCATCTGGGACCTTGTTCAGACACAGCGGGCACTGATTTTTAGCCAGAGGCCTGCACCTTATCCTGAACTATCCCCCTAAACCCCACGTTTTTTTGTCTGCTCCTGGGTGTGCGTGCAATCGCAGGGCGGGACTCGGGGCCCTGAGCTCCCCCCCACACTAGGGCGGGCTGTGACCTGAGCCTGCCTCTTCTCCCTGCAGCTGCGGAGTGCCCCGCCCACAGCCACTACTCCTTGTGCACAAACACCTGCCAGGGCTCTTGCTCGGCGCTCTCTGGCCTCACGGGCTGCACCAGCCTCTGCTTTGAGGGCTGCGAATGTGATGACCGCTACCTGCTCTCCGACGGCGTCTGTATCCCCATCCAGGACTGCGGCTGCACCTACGAGGGGCGCTACATGCCTGTGAGTAGGGGCTTGAGGGAGTGGGGGAGTGGACGGGGGCCATCTAACCTCCTAAAGGATGGGGCACTTAGTTGGTGGACTTGATGTGTGGGCACCTAGTTGGGGGCTTGACTAGGTGGCCCTCCCTGAATTCCCACAACCCCCCTGCTCCATCTTGGTCTTCATCCCACTGTCAGTGCCTCCCCCTCCTGACCCGACCCCCTGTGCTGGACAGCTTCCTGTCCATGTGAGTCCAGCATGCAGAGGAGAGATCGGGTCTGGAGAGAGAGATGTGGGAGCTGGGAGGTGGGAGGATGGGGCGATGCGACCGGTTCCACAGAATCAACTAACTAGGGACCAGAAATACTTGGAAAAAACAAAAAGTTTGTACGACGCATTACAGACATTTTTTAAAAATTCAATTCCCTAAACATTAAGTGGAACAGTTACGTACACTGATTTGATATTATTGTGAGTAGTAATCTGGGTACAGGCGCGGCTGGGCAAAATAGCACAGTGATGTTGGCACGTGGGCCAGCTGCGTCCCAGCTTGGAGTGCCAGGGTTGGAGCCTGGCTCCACTTCCAGGCCAGCTTTCTCCTGAGGTACACCCTGGGAAACAGCAGGTGGTGGATGATTCAAGCACTTAGGGCCTGGCTGGCAGGAGGGCTGGATTGAGTCCCATGCTTCTGCTTTAGCCTGATCCAAACCTGCTAGTGCAGGCAGGTGGATCGTCACTCAGTGGGCCTGCCGAGGGACGCCGGGTCTGGGTGAGGCTGAGCTGCCTGAGCTGTCTGTTCTTCCCTGTGGCTTCTCAGCCATCAGTGAGTTGACCACAGTGTATTCTCAGGCATTCTGCCTGAATGCAGAGGGCTGGAGGGCTGTGGCCTGCGAGGGCCCCCACCTTGTCTCACTCACCGGCCCCCTCTTCTCTGTGCAGGTGAACACCTCCTTGCTGTCTTCAGACTGCAGCGAGAGCTGCTACTGCTCAGACAATGGCCTCACGTGCTCCGCAAATGAATGTCAAGTCGGCTTTGTGTGCGACATCCACGAGGGGACCCGGGTCTGCCAGGTCTCGCAGGGTCTCTGCTCCCTCACTGCGGGCTCCAACCTCACCACCTTTGACGGAGCCCTTGGTGCCTTCAGCTCTCCGGGCGTGTATGATCTCTCCTCCCGCTGCCCTGGCCTGGCATCGCACATCCCCTGGTACCGTGTGGTTGCTGCTGTCCAGTCCTGCGAGGACAAAGCCAAGACCGTAGTCCAGATCCATGTCTTCTTCGAGGACGGCATAGTGACTGTGATCCCCGGCAAGGGCGTGTGGGTGAGTCTGAGGATGGTGGCTGGTGGACAGGAGGACAGAGGGTCTCCCCTGGACTTGTGAGTTTGGTATTTGCAATACCTCTACACTCCCTGGCTTGTTCTCTCTTCTGTGCAATTCAAGTCACCTCATAATTTTGATGTTGGCATGATCCATCAAGATTGCACTGGTTGCCAGTGACAGAAATCCGAGCTCAAAAGTTCCTTAAGCCAAAGTGGATTCATTGGCCCATGTAACTAGACCACCCAGAGGTCAGGCCCTAGGCTTGGCTAGAACATATCCTCGCAACATGAGCAGGACTCTGTCTTCTATGTGTCAATCACCAAGTCAGCTGGATTCATGGACAGGCTTTCCTCTTACAGGGGCGAAGATGCCTGCTTGTGCCCCTCCTTGCCCCAGCTGTGCCAGGCCCACACCCCACTACATATTGTTATATGTGCTAAGGTCATTACTTAATTTTAGACATCAGATTACAAGACATAAAAGATAAATCCTCTTTTTTTAGGGCACCAGTAACTTACAGAATATGCTCAAGGGTTCTTTCATTTAGAAAACTAGACCCCAAACAGGATGACCCTGAGACTGATTGGTTGGTTGGTGTTGTCTATCAAGTACAACATCCCTGACCTTGGGGAGGCCATCTGGATTCTTGGAATGTGTGGTCTTGCTTGGGGTCTCCACTGTGGTAACACCCCAGCTCTCCACCGGCTCTGGCCTCACCCTTGTGCTTGTCTACCTCCATCTCCAGGTGAACGGCCTCCCAGTGGCTCTCCCGGTTGACGTGTTAACATCAGTGTCTGTGAGCCAGACATCTGACGGCTCCATACTCGTCCAGCAGAAGGCAGGAGTGAGCGTGTGGCTTGGAACCGACGGGCAGCTGACTGTGGCCGTCAGCGATGACCATGCTGGAACGCTGTGTGGGGCCTGTGGAAACTTTGACAGGAACCCGACCAATGACTTGGGTGACTCCCAGGAGGACACAGATATGGATAAATGGCGGGCGCCGGACTTCTCCCCTTGGTGAGACTTCTTGGGGCAAGGGCGGGTATCCCCACAGGAAGGAGGGGGGTCTGGGTGGGTGCTCAGTCTATAAGAGCAGGTGCTAAGTGTCTGTCTTTTGCAGTGATCCCTGATCAGTCATCCACTGGGAATGAAGACCTGCGGATCTGACCCACCCCTGGAAATGGTGAAAGGAAACACCCACTACCATGCCCTTTTGCAAAATCACTGAACCCCAATGGGAAACCAATGAATAAATATCTGAAGCCAAGCTGTATGCTGATGTGTCTGTGCCTTGTGTACTCATCCCTGACGTTCCTCCCTGCGTCACGGGGATCAGATGCCAGGGGAATCCAACACACATGAGTTTTTATTGGGGTGACTGGATGAATGGAAAGATGGACAGATGGGTGGATCGATCGATTGGCTGATGCTTTATTGCATGAGTAGAAGAAGAGACAGATTGGCAAAGGAATAAATGGGCAAATAGAAAGACAAGGAAATGAACAATTTGAGGAATAGTCAGATAAAAGGATGAGTGACTGTTTGGAGGGAACAAATGGAAAGTGGAAAGAAAAACCAATAGCTTTCATTTGTAGACCTTAACAAGTTACTTCATTTCTCCCTGGCTCAGTTTCCTCAATGATAAGTTGTTGGTGATTGGACTCACAGAGCTGAGAAGGGAATCGGATGGGTTAATCCCATCAGTAAGTCATAAACCAGTTTCGGTTGCCTTCACACCTGCCCCTGCTTCTCCAAGGTGGTCTGCCCAGCACAGTGCACTGCCAGCACCCAGGAAGTCCAGGAGCACCAACAGGCAGGGTTCTTAATTCTGCCCAGTTCATCGACAAAGTATGTTGAATTGCATCAAAACATAGTGGAAGTCACACACATACATACTATTATATGATATAATGCCTTAAAAGTTTATAAATAGGGGCCTGGCGCAGTGGTCAAGCGGCTAAAGTCCTCGCCTTGAACATGCTAGGATCCCATACAAGCACCAGTTCTAATCCCGGCAGCCCCGCTTCCCATCCAAGCTCCTGGCTTGTGGCCTGAGAAAGCAGTCAAGGATGACCCAAAGCCTTGGGACCCTGCATCGGCGTGGCAGACCTGTAAGAGCTCCTGGCTCTTGGCTTCTGATTGGCTCAACTCCAGCCACTGTGGCCGCTTGGGGAGTGAATCATCGGATGGAAGATCTTCCTCTTTGTCTCTCCTCTCTATATATCTGACTTTGCAATAAAAATAAATAAATCTTTAAAAAAAAAGATTTTAGAAATAGCAGGTTAGGATAGTGGCTAGGTAATAGGCACCAATGTCTAGTTTAACAAGATGAATCTGATAGGGGATCTAGTGGGCACAGTACGATGACTGCACTGTACAATTTATTTTAGAATTTAGAACTTGAAAAGAGGAGTGCAAAGGTTCCTACCTACAAGCTAAATATTTATGGAAATAGAAATACTGATTGTTCCGGTTACACATAGAATACATGCATAGAATTAATCCACTGTTAAGGGCCATTGTTGTGGAGTAATGAATTACACTCCCACTTACAGTGCTGGCATCTCATATGAGCAGTGGTTTGAGTCCTGGATGCTCCACTTCCCATCCAGCTCCTTGCTAATGGTCTGGGAAAGCAGTAGGAGATGGCCCAAGTGCTCGGGCTCCCGCACTCATGGAGGAGACCAGATGAAGCGCCTGGCTCCTGGATTTAGCCTGGCCCCGCCATGTGGGGAGTGAATCAATGGATACAAGTTCTGTCTCTCTCTCTCTCTCTCTCTCTCTCTCTCTTCCTCTCTGTAATTCTGCCTTTCAGACGAGGTGACCAGCTTCATGCTCTGCTGGGGTCTTAGGGTGACAGTGACCACTCGAGAGGTGTGCCCTGGGGGGACGGGGCAATGGACAGGGAGTGGGGTGCATATGGGATGGGTCTTTCTCCTTCCGCCAGACTGTGACCTCTGTGGCTATCATGGTCGCCATTGTGTCTGCAACATCAGATGCGGCGAGCACTCGAACGGAGGGGTGGGAAGAGTACAAGGTTGAGGCAGGAGATGTCCAGAGGCCAGAATGGGCCAAGAATCCTGATCTTGAACTTGGGAATCACTGAAGTTGACACAAGAAGCCGCAACAAGAACTGGAATAACAGGGAATGACAGTGCCAGGGGTTGCCCGTGGGGGCAGGTGCTGTGGCATGACTGGGAGAGCTTCAATACCAGACGGGGGAAGGGGTGGCAGAGGAAGGGCTTCGGAAGCGACTGAGAGGAGCCAAGGGTTCTTGTACTTCCTGCAGGCCCACGGAGGGAGTCAGCCCCACTGGGAATGCTGCATCTCTAAGGAGACAGCTAGGTCGGGGTCAGGGCAAGGAGTGGATAGGAAGATTCTGGGGCAGCTGGAGGCAGTCAGGAGAAGCCCTCCAGTTCCTCTCCCAGCCTGGACCTGGCCTGTGAAGCCTGGGCCTCCCCCACTGCAGCCCCAACAGACACTAGGCCTAAACACCGTGTAGAGGCGGGTCTGTGTCCCTCATTGCGCTGGGGCTGTGTCACCCCGTACTATGGTACAAGAGCGACAAGCAGCATCCGAGAGTGATTATCCAATGTTCAGTCCCACTTGGCAGAGCAGGTGGGCAGGAGAGGCACCTCTCAGCCAGCAGGTGGCGCTAGAGCCCTGGGAACGGGGCTGGCAGCCCTAACTCAGCGCTGTGCCCCTAGGGAAAAAAGCATTTCATGTAGACGCCGTCCCCGAACGTGCAAATTCCTAAGAAGCAGGCGCTGCGTCTGGCTGCCGACCAGGTTCCTCGTGGCCACTTCCAGGAACCTGGCACAGCAAAGCTGCTTGGCTGCGTTAGAAAACCGCAAAGCACACAAACCCTGTCAGCCCTTCAGGCAGGGTCCCACACGCTGATCTGGCCTGGCCGCGCTCCCACTGGGCCCTGCCTTGGTCCTCTGCTCTTCCCTTCCTTCCCAATCCCTCCCCAGTCTTTTCTCGGCTGGCAGATCGAGCAAGCCCCCTTTCTCTGTGTCACTCAGGGTCCTCTGGAAGCTCGTGGGAACGTGGAAGCTCCCTGCTCGCCTCTCCTCCCCTCCTTTCAAGCATTCTCGTTCAGGGATCTCCTCTCTGCAGCCCTCAGGCCCCGGAATGCTCACACCTTGCAGGTCAGAATTCTTTCCTTGGGAATCACTCACACCTTGCATGCCTTAACCATTCCCATCCCCCCTAACATTCCTATCCGCAAACATTGCTTTCCCAAGAAGGTGGCGATTTTTTTTTTTTTTTAACGTTTTGCTCATTGTTGCATTGCCAACACCCGGAACAGTGCCTGTTATAGACAAGATATATCTTAAAATGCTTTTCGATTGGAAAACCGGAATACAGCTGGGAAGGAAAAGGTTCTTTGGGGTCTTAGAGGAGGACCTGAAAGATTTGGTGGGGAAAAACAGACGAGTGACAGAGGGCCTGGCTATAAGTCCTGGTGACGGGGATCCTGGCACCAGAGAAGAGGAAACTTGAACGTAGCAGCGCAAAAAGCGCGGGACGCACAGAAGAGCCGAGCGCGGCGTTTCCGCCCACTGCGCACGCGCGAGCGCTCAGCTCCGGGCAAAGCCGGGCAAGGCAGCTCGGGGGCGGGACTACGTGCTCGCGTCACTCGCTTTGCGACGCCGCGCGCCTGCGCCGCTTTCCACGTGCGACAGTTCCAGACTCGTGCGTGTAGGGACCCCGCCGACTCCCGGAACCGCGCGGCTGAGCGGGCAGCATGAAGCCAGGTGCGGCCGGGCTGCGGGTTCGAGTCTTAGGCGGCACTCGGGGGCCGAGCGCTGGGCCCCGAGGCAGGGAGCCGGGGGAGAGGGCCGGGAGCTGGGCCCCGAGGCAGGGAGCCGGGGGAGAGGGCCGGGCGCGATCCCCCTGGGGTGGGATCTAGAACCGGGCATGCGGGGCGAGCTCGGGGGTCACGGTCGTGGGGTCGGGAGGCGAGCGTGCTCGATCCTGAGGACGCCCTTTGGTTGGGGTCGTGGTTGGGGCAGCAGCCCTCGTGGGATCCTGACCCGGAGGCTTCCGAGGTCTTGGGTCCCGCGGGTTTTAGTTAGGGTCGGAGATCCGTGCTCTGGCGACTGGCAGGCAGCTGGGTCTGGGGAGTCCCCAGTACCTCTCTGATTTCTGCAGCCACCCCTCTGTGTGCCTTCAGCACCCCGTTACCCAGATTCTTCCAGTCTGCCGGCCTCCCCTGCGGACCCCCATTTTCTAGCTCCCTACAGGTTTTTGGGGAGAGGGTAGGGGGGAGGCCCCCTGAGAAGCTGTGGGTATTGGGGACCAGGGACTCCCAACTGCTCAGCGGGAAGAAGCAGGGGGGTTGCTCACAGGCTGCCCCGTTTGGCTTTATTCTGCACCCCTCGCTGCAGCCCTCCCCAGCCCCTGATGGCGGGAGGATGGGGATCCATCTTGCCTCCGTGTTTCAGTTGGGACCTACCTGCTGAGCCCACCGTGTGTGTGAGACTTTGAACACATCATATCATCAATCAAATGGTTGCGATGAAGGGAACATTCGATCTGTGTAAATAGCCCGCTATCTGGCATGGGATAATGTTGACTTGTGTGACATTCTCTTTTATTATTTTCCATAATGCAAAGATTACCTCCCCCCTTTCCTGCCACCATTTCCTTCCGTAATATGACAGAGTTAGTGCTCCTTAGGAACCTCTACCAGTGTGACGTTTTGCTATTTGAGTGCGGGATGGCATTGAAGGTATAGGCAGTGGTAGAAAGTGGAGCATCCCATTGTCAAGGTATATGGAACTGTTTCACTGGATTCCTTTTTTCCAGGAGTAGAGATGTGGTCTGTCTCACTTCCCGATACGCTAGACTCCATTATACAGTTCATCCTTGAGAGTACATGGGAAAGGGGAATGAAGGGTCCTCCTCTCACCCCCCCAGTCATCCTGTGTGAGAACTTGGGCTACCGAGTTTGGGTTTTCCACAGATGGGAAAGCGGGGTGCTGAAGGAGGGAGCCTTGTGCATGAGTGCTTGAGGGGTGTCTCCTGGTGAAGTGGGGTGTGGGCTCCTCGGCCAGGTACCTGCTGCTCTCTGGAATCCCCCAGGGATGGAGGAAGATCCTCTGTCTCCCAGCTCTCCTCCTCCGGCGTGCGGGGCTGCAGCAGTGGTCAGAGGTCAGCTCATACTGGAAGATGCTGAGCGTGTCATGTGACTGATGCTATGTTAAGGGGTCCTCCTGACTCTTGGGGGTGCGCAGTGGCCACAGCCGGCTCTGTCCTGTCCCTGGAACCTGGCTGCTGTGGCTTGGGCCCTGGTGGCGACGGTGGTGGCAGAAGGTGGGCTGATGAAGTCTCGCCACCAGGGAGTAGATTCGGGAAGATGGCACCCGACAGGCTGTATGTGGGCATGAGGCTTCAGCTGGAAAGGGATGGGCAGGCTGGATGGAACTGCTCCTTGAAGGTGTAGGAAGACCAGGAGGCAGGCAGGTTGGAAGCCAGGGAGTCTTGTAGACCTTCCACCTACAAGTGTGTGAATGTGGGTATTTTGGGGGGCTTTTAGTGCATGTTTCTAAGTGCCCCTGGGCCTGCAGTAGGTTGAGGTGATTTGAGTGTTTGGGCAGGGGTGCAACTGTGCCGCCTGCACATGCCCACGTTTCCTGGCTCTCTGTCCTGGTTGGCCTCCATAGAGCATCCCATAGGCGCAGCCAGTGGCTTTCCCTCTAAGTCGAAGGGAGGGGGACTCGGCCCCCTCAGCTTGAATAATCAAGCCATGTGTCCGAACTAATGTCAACTGTACCACTCCCAAGGGGGGCCCTGTGTGAACCCCATAGCCTCATGTTGCAGATGGGGTTTTTTTAAGATTCCTACAAGACTTCCCAGTTCTCTCAGTGGGCCATGGCTGCGGTGTGGCCTTTCTCCCGGGTCCCATGCACAGGCTGCCTGAGGAGAGACCCCTGCGCTGTCTGACTACCACTATATCACTTCCTCAGGACTGGGGACATTCTGGGGCCCCATAGCCTAAGAGATCTGTGTCTGTCTGGAGTTGGATTCTGGTGGGGGCAGGCGGGTAGCAATGAGGTGCTGTGATGGGTGTGGAGCTGGGTGGGGTGGTGGCCAGGGCAGGCTCCTCCAAGGATGTCAGCTTTACCAGACATCTCCCACCCCAGGGCCTTGGAGGAGGGGTTGAGCGGGGCAGTGGGGACCACAGTGCCAAAGACGTGGAGCCTGAACTGTGGGTACTCTTTGGTGGGAACACAGAAAGGGGTTGGAGAGGTCAGTAGAGGCTAGATTTTCACATGGGGGTTCCCAGTTTGGACCCCCACATTAGCATCTTTGCAAGTGCAACTTCTGGGTAGGTCCTGGTGCAGCAGTTAACACACCTACGTCCCAAAGCAGTGCCAGATTAGAGGCCTGGCTGCTGTGTTTATGATCCGGCTTCCTGCTCACTCCCACCAGGCGAGACAGCAGAGGGTGGTTCAGGTGCTTGGGCCCTGCCACGCACGTGGAAGATCTAGATTAAGGTCTAGGCTTTTGGGGCCTGAGCTGTGGCATAGCTGGTTAAGCCACTGTCTGCAACATCAGCAGCCCATAGAGGCAGCAGTTCGAGTCCTAGCTGCTCTACTTCCCGTCCAGCTCCCTCTTGATGCTCCTGGGAAAGCAGTTGGAAGATGTCTTAAGTGCTCCTTAGGGCCCAGCACCCATGTGGGAGATGAGTTGAGGCTCCTGCTTTTAGCCTGGCCCAGCCTTGGTAGAGGGTTTCTGCCTCTGTCTGACTCCTCCATTCAAAGAAAGAAATCTTTAAATTTTTGTTTTCATTGGTCATATTGACCAGCCCCTAAACTGTCTTTAAACTATTACTCGTCCCTAACGGATAGTTTGGGTTTCTTCCCCTGAGCTGGCAGCAGGACGACGAGTTAGCAGGAAGATATGGCTTGGTGAAGTTCCCCCTACGCTGGCGTCGCTGCTCTTGTTGCAGGAGCAAGGGCCAGGTCGGGGGCCTGGGGAAGCCAGTGACCACAGGGTGGACACACATGCCAGATGTGCCCCTCTGACTCCTTCATATCAGCGCATTCCATTTAGCCAGAGGCTGAATTTGACAGGCCAGATATCGAATTGTCGCATTGTTGTGGTTTCTGTGCCTCGTCACTGTCACACCTCAAGTCTAAGTTAACCCAAGGACATTTCACTGTTGATGCTGTGTATTCCCCCGCTGGGGTGGGTCCTGGTTGTGGTGTCTGCGTCCCTCCACACAGGCACTGGCTTCTGGCTCTTTGGTTTAGCAGGAATTGTGAGGTACCAGGTCTTTCAGGGTTTTTAAGTTGCAGTGCCCTAATTGCTATTCTTTGTTTCCCCCACAGGTTTCAGTCCTCGTGGCGGTGGCTTCGGTGGCCGAGGAGGCTTTGGTGACCGTGGTGGTCGCGGCGGCCGCGGTGGAGGCCGAGGGGGCTTTGGCGGGGGCCGAGGGCGAGGAGGGGGCTTCCGGGGCCGAGGAGGAGGAGGAGGTGGCAGAGGAGGTGGCGGCGGTGGAGGAGGCAGAGGTGAGTGAGTTTGAGTGGTGTGGAAGGGCCTTCCTGGGGGGAAGGAAGGGGAGAGGTTTGAAGGCCTGCTTTTCAACCTGCATCTCCCCTCCGTAGGTGGCGGCTTCCACTCTGGGGGCAACCGGGGCCGGGGCCGGGGAGGCAAGAAAGGAAACCAGTCGGGGAAGAATGTGATGGTGGAACCCCATCGACACGAGGGTGAGTGAGGGCGGCAAGGGGGTGCTGGGGCTTGGGACGGGTTGTGGCCCCTGGTCCTCACCCCTGCTTTCCGGCTCGCCTGCTGCAGGTGTCTTCATCTGTCGAGGAAAGGAAGATGCCCTGGTCACCAAGAATCTGGTCCCTGGGGAATCCGTGTACGGAGAGAAGAGAGTCTCCATTGCGGTGAGTCCCGGGCCCCGGGCAGGGCTATGATCTCCTGATGCCCAAGTCAGCATCCTTGAACCAGTTGTCCACTCCCCCAGCCCCATCTCCATGGAGTGCCACTAGTTGCCCTGGCATCCTCCTTGATCCCCACTCTCCCTGCCAGCTCTGCCAGGTTGCATCTTGGTCAGCTGTCTCCTGGTCTCCTGGTCTTCGTGGCCAGCTCCACGCCTTGGGGTTTCACTGCTGGCCTTCCTCCTCCCTGGGATGCTCTCTCATCCTCAGCTCTCCCTGGGCTGCCCTTCCTTATTTTACCTGCTGCCACACTCCACACCTGTCCTCTTCATTTAGCATGTGCCACTGCCTCGCATTGCCAGGCTGAGGTAGTTGGTACAGGGTGCCCTCAGGGGTCTCTGAGGGTCTCCCCAGTACCTGGAGTGGGGCTAATGCAGAGATGCTGAATGGATGGGAGCCATGTCTCACTGTTGCTGGTTCTTGGGGTTTGCTGCCTGTGGCTGCGCCTTCTCCTGGGCCGGTGACTACTGTTGGGGGTCAAGCTCAGGCCTGACTTCCCATATCCCCATTTCTCCCTGCCCAGGAGGGGGATGACAAGATTGAGTACCGGGCCTGGAACCCTTTCCGCTCCAAGCTGGCGGCAGCCATCCTGGGTGGCGTGGATCAGATCCACATCAAACCGGGGGCCAAGGTGCTGTACCTCGGGGCCGCCTCGGGCACCACCGTCTCCCACGTCTCTGACATCGTTGGCCCGGTGAGTGGCTCCAGAGGACAGGCTGGTGGGAGGGAAAGGCCATTACCCCCACCACCACTATCTACCCTGTTCCTACCTGGAATCCCAGGGCTTGGCTGCTTCCCTCTGCTGGGGGCTCGAGGCCATGAATGAAGCAGCTCCTTGAAGTAGAGGCTGCGGGAGCTCTTGGGGGCCTGGCATGGAGTGACCCCTGTGAGCAGGCCTCCACACTGGGCATGCACGTGGACCACTTGGTTTTGCTTGCTCTCTTTACAAAGCTCAAGCTGTCCCCTCTGTCCCGCTCCCATCACTTGTGAAGGAACGAGGGGCTCTCACAGTTTCTGAGCTCAGGTTTCTGCATGCTGTGCAACTTTCCCAGGTATGGGGTGCCTGACACACATTTCCTCTTGCTTTGTGGCCCCTGTCCTTTCCATGTAATGTAGTGCCAGCCTCCCCTGTCCCGACACTGCTGAGAGAGGGCACATGGCTTGGCAGCAGGTCACCTGACCTCTCCTTATCTTGCCCTGCTGGAAAGCGAGGTGGCTGTGAAGCCAGAAGCCCCGATGGCACCTGGCCCCGTGCCCGTACTCTGGGGTCTCATTCCTTGCTTGGCTGGTTCTCTGCTCCTCTTAGGAGCCTCATCTTCGAGCTCTGGCAAGTCAGGTTAGGGAGCCAGGGTACCTGCCGAGGAGCCATTGGCTGGGAGACTTAACACGGAGAGCTCTTCCAATCAGGGATTATTTCACTCTGCAAGGGCAACAGCAGTCAGGGCTGAGCTAGACCCAAAGCCAGAGCTTCTTCAGGGTCTCCCACGTGGATTTTGGACAGGGGCCCTCCCCCTGCTCTTTCCAGGCCCTGAGCAGGGAGCTAGGTCAGAAGTGGACCAGCCGGCTCCTATAACAGGTACCCATATGAGACGGTAGCTTACCCGTTATGTCCTAGCGCCGGCCCTAGCAGTAGAGAGGAGCTGCCGCATGCACCGTGAGGGCCCGCAGCAGGCCTTGCGCACAGGAGAGCTTGGTGTCCCTTTGTCTGAGCAGCGGCTGTCTTTCAGGATGGTCTGGTCTACGCAGTTGAGTTTTCCCACCGCTCCGGCCGTGACCTCATCAACTTGGCCAAGAAGAGGACCAACATTATTCCTGTGATTGAGGACGCCCGGCACCCGCACAAATACCGCATGCTCATTGGTGAGGGTCCCAGTGCGGGGAGGACAGGTCCTACCAGGTTTCCTGGTGGGAGGACAGGCAGAGCCTGGGAGAGGTGTGGAGGCTGTGTCCTTGCTGCAGGATGGCCCTTCTCCCTGCTGGTCTCCCTGCCTCTCCTGAGAGCCCTGGAACGTGGCGCTCCCCCCACTGACTTGCTGCTCCTTGCTAATGGTAGAAAAGCCCCCTCTAGGGGTGCTTACCAGCCTCTGGGGAGGTCCTAGCTCAGGGAGCACAGGCGAGTGTGGCCTGTAGAGACCACTCCAGAATCTGTAAACAGTTAATAGCATGCAGAGTAGCCAGGGGAAGCACCCTAAAGCCCACCAGAAGGGACTGCATAGAATGAGGGGCCATCTGCTTTTTCCAGTTTCAGAATTCAGTTGTCCTGACATCATGTTATCCCCATACCCTCGTCCCGCCTAGTGTTTGCATTTGGCAGTCCTGCGGACCGCTGTTGCTTTTTCTCATCTGTGATGACATGTCACTGCCCCTCCCCAACCCAGGGGCGTCTAGAAGGCAGGGTCCTGGTCTGACTTGTCTCTGTGTCCCCCATGCCCAGCCCAGGGCTGGCCACATTGGAGGTGGCAACCATGATTTATAGGAGGAAGTGAGTGATACCCGAATGTGGATTTTCAGGGTTGCTGTACAGGGAGGGAATGAGTTGGGGTGAGGGAGCAGTGAGACCAGAGGCAGGGAGACCTTCCCAGGAACCTGCTGACAGAGCCCAGACCCCATGGGAGGATCCAGGGTGGGTCTAACTCTCCAGTGTCACCCTTTCCCCTGTAGCAATGGTGGATGTCATCTTTGCCGACGTGGCCCAACCAGACCAAACACGCATTGTGGCTCTGAATGCCCACACCTTCCTGCGGAACGGAGGCCACTTTGTGATTTCCATTAAGGTAAGGGGCTTGGGGAGTTGAAGGTGGGAGCATTTTCCCTGCGAGGCAGCCAGTGGAAACAAGGAGCCTGGGGTGGATCTAGCTTAGTGGTCAGATGTTCGCCGTACACTGTATTGCAGAGGCCCAGGGTCAGAGCTCTGATGGTGCATATGGTTGGGAGCCTGGACCCCACGTGCAAGGCCTGGGCCAGGTCCTGGGGCAGCCCCAGTGAAATATCCACCGTAGCTCCTCCCTCTCTCCAGGCTGATGTGAGGATGGGTTGATCAATACAAGGGAAGGGAAGGATTTTTGCATACATGCTTGGGGCAATTTTTTCTAAAGGTTTATTTTGAAATGACAGCCCTCACTCACGCAGACAGGCCTTGGGTCTATGCTCAAACCTGCACGTTTAGATGAGCAGGCTTCTGTCAGGGTCTCCTGTCATTCGTAACTCCCCTCACGAAGCCCCACTAGGCTCGGGGTAAACAGGGCCTTCTCCCCCCGCAGGCCAACTGTATCGATTCCACCGCCTCGGCCGAGGCCGTGTTCGCGTCAGAGGTGAAGAAGATGCAGCAAGAAAACATGAAGCCCCAGGAACAGCTGACCCTTGAGCCCTACGAGAGAGACCACGCCGTGGTGGTGGGAGTGTACAGGTGAGGGAGATCACGCCGTGGTGGTGGGAGTGGACAGGTGAGCCCAGGACAGCCGGCTGCACCGGGGAGCCCGCACTGGGACCGGCCTAACCCACCCCGTCTCCTCTGCTGCAGGCCGCCCCCCAAGGTGAAGAACTGAAGCTGGATGTGTCCGACTGTGTGTTGTTTTTTTCTATTAAAATGACTGAACTGAACTGTGGCCCCCCGTCTGCTGCTGACTACTCCCTGGCCCGCGGTCGGCACCCTGGGCAGGAACGGCTGGGGAAGGGCAGGGCCCCCGCCGGGCACACTGCGCATGCTCCGCATCACGCCCGCGGCCAGCGCAGCCCTGACCCGGATTTCGCCGCTGGGGCGGGGCCGGTGGCTCACTGCGCATGCTTGCCGTGGCATGGCGCACTTTGTGCGCAAGCGCCGGCAGTTACCCGGAGTCACGTGAGAGGCGCGGACGGGAGTGTGGGAGGAGCTCGGGGCGGGGAGGGGGGGCGGTTTGTTGTGGTCGCCATTTTGCTGGTTGCATTACTGGGTAATCGGGGCCCTGGCTGGCCGCGTCTGCAGGAGACCCTCAGAGAGCGGGCACCTGTGAGCTCGGGCTGTCCGAGCGGTTTGCGTCCCCTTGCCTGCGCCCTCAGGTAACTACGTGGCGGCGAGAGGCGGGGCGGCATCGGCAGGCGGGGAGTGAGGCTGAATGGGATCCGCCCTGCCCGCTCGCAGCTACTGCGAGCCTTAGCACGAGGGAGGCCGAGGGAGGAGAGGGGAGCGAGCTTCTGGCAGGTGCGGGGCTGTGCTTGGCTGTTCTCAGTCCTCATTGACTTCATTCCTGAGAGAGGTGGAACCGGGAAGGCAGCTCGGGAGGGGGGTATCGGGGGCCCCACTCCCGCCCTTTGTTTGGGCTCGGATCCGCCGGCCGCATCGCCGTTGCCTAGCAACAGCTGCCCTAGGCTGCGATTGGCTAAGCTCTCGGCGGCAGTGGCCAATGGCGCGGTTGTTGCCATGGCAGGTGCAGATTGCCAAGCTCGGGCAGACCCCGCCTGCCGGGGCGGGCCGCCGGGGTCCCTGGGGGCGGTGGCCGCTCGGGGCGGGCCGGGTGGGGTGAGGGCTGACCTGCCCATCCCCCGTCCGTCCACCTGCTCTCCCCTTCCCCCGCATGGCCTGGGATGACCCTGGTTCCCTGCTCTCCCCGCCCCCGGCAGCAGCGGCGGAGGCTGCTGTTGTCACCCACCGGGCCGCCTGTCCTGCTTGCCCTCCCCGCCGCGGGGCTTGCCGGGCCTGGCCAGTCCAGGGACAGGCGGCCGCCTTAGCACCGCTGCTGCCGCCGTCACCGCCATGCTGGCCGCTCCCCCGCCCCACTGGGGGCCCCACCGCTCCCCAGCCCCCCGTGGGTCCCGGGCCAGCCCTGACCCTGGTAGGGGTGGAGGCTGGGAGAGACTGGAGGGCCTGGGCGAAAAATTGGGAGGGGAGAGTTTGCAGAGTGTAGTGGTCCTGAAGTGGCAGGCGTGGCAAGGAAAAAGGTCTGACGCTGGAGGGGAGGGGGAACCCATGAGGAAAGAATTTTGTTGTGGTCCATGCACTGAGAGTGGAAAGCCCTATGTGATATTTGGGGATTTGTCTATTGGGGCCTTCTAGGAACGGACACAGCAGTGGATTGATCCTAGAGCGGGGTAACTGGAGAAGGGGCCCTGGTCGGAATATTGGGTAGGGTGGGGTGGGGGAGGGCAAGGATCCACTGTAGGGGAGAAAAGCAGATGGCTCCCTGCCTCCTCCACGTCCATCAGGAAGGGTGCGCCTTGATCAGGAGGGCGTCTTGGAGTGACAGCAGCAAAGTGGACTGAGGTCTGGGGCGGGGGGATGGCCTGATGTGGGAAAGAGGCTTGGCATGACTGCTTAGAGACCCCCATCCTGGAAAGGTGTGTCTTCATGGGAGCACGGGGGTAGGTGTCTGTTGTCCGGGTTCTCGGGGGGGCCCCCTGGTGTGGTTGGGAATCCCTGAAGGACCCCGATGTAGTTTCCAAGGCCTGCAGCGGCTCAGCTCTTGATGAAAGGGGAGGAGGAGGAGTGTGTGTGGCATGGGGGTCCATCGGGAAGGGGTTGTTGAAACAGAAACTTGGCTGTGGGACAAGCGGGGCTCGTGCTGTTCAGACTGCAGAGGGGTGGGAGCTTGCAGGAGGGCCTGAGGGAGCCCTGAGTAGGAGTGGGGGGGGGGACGAACCTGCACTGCCCGCCTGGTGTGCGCTTTCTCTCATTTCTTCTTTTCCTTCTCTGTTTATTGGTGTCCTTCTGTCCTTGTCCTGGCCTGCACCCCCACCCTCTGCCTGCTCTCTGTTCTGGGGCTCTGTATGTGGGGTCATCTGTTTATCGATTGAGGGGGTCTGTTCCACTTGCCTGCCACTTCTCTCTGCCGCCCCCCCTTTGTTGCTGCCTGCTGCTTTGTTGTTTCCCCCACCACCACCCTTCCCTGCCCTGCCTGGCACTGCTGTACATGTCGCTTGGTTCCATGCTGTTTGCTTGCTTCCCATCTATTCCCAGGTCTCAGCGGCGGTGGCAGCCGAGGTGCAGGATGCGAGAAGGCGCCCCCCGGCCGGGCTCCCGCTCCAGGCCTCGCACCCCTGCGGCCCTCTGAGCCCACCATGGCCGTCCCACCAGGCCATGGTCCCTTCTCTGGCTTCCCAGGGCCCCAGGAGCACACGCAGGTATGTGTTCACCTGGTTCCTCACTCCTCTTGGGTGTGACGGGTCCCAAGGGAATGGCAATGTGCCCACATTCTGGGCAGTGAGGAGTGGGAGAGCCTGGCTTCACAGCCTGGTGTCAGTTTTCTAGTCTGTAAAATGGAGCCAGTTACTGCCTGCTTCCCAGGGTTGTGAAGACTAAACAAGGTAATCCCACGCGTGTAAGTGCTGAGAATGGTACCTGGCATGTGGTCAGTGCCCAGTTAATGTGAGAAAAAGGAGTCCAGGGTTGGGGGGTTGCAGGGAGTTGAACAAGAGCAGAGTTGAGCCTAAGGACCTTGGGGCAGAGGGTGGAGAGGGTGAAGCCCTCTGAAGATAGCTCTGAAATGCAGAATTTGACACAAGGTGAAGGGGGGCGTGAGGTGCCACTGCCAGACCTAGGAGCCCTGGCATGAAAGAACTGGGCAGGGTTGCTCTGGCTGGGAGGGTGAGGGTAGGTACCACCTCAGGGATGACAAGGAATTGAGATGGGACGTCTCTCAACAAGATGGGGTACCAGCCGCCAGGACGGGCCTCAGGCTGGTGGGCTCTGTGGGGCAGTCCGGTTCTCCCTGACAATCGATGACCCCACATACCCACTCTGCTGCAGCTGGGAGAGGAGGGGGTGGTGTCAGGAAGCTGACCAGGGTGCTGGGTCGCAAGTCGGGGATGAGGCAAAGTGAGGAGCCCAAGGAATATGAAAACAAAAAATAATAAGTTTGGCTACCAAAAATGTTAGAAGTCCACACAGTAAAGAGCCCTTCAGAAAGCTGTTAGGGAAAAATTTCCATTAGGAATAGGAAAAAGGTACACAGATTTAAAAAATAATTAATACCACCAAAATAAACTAACCTTCATCGCATTTTTTCCAAGACCTTTTTGAAGGTCCCTTATAAGCTGCACACACACATTCGTTAGCCCTCAAATAACATGGTTGTGTGCCAGGCCCTGCTCTAGGCACTGGAGGGGCAGGGTAGACAAGGGGGTGCCCCACCCTTGGGGGATTTCTGTTCTAGTAGGGGAGCCAGGCAAGTAGCTGTGTGTGTGTGTGTGTGTGTGTGTGAGCTGAAGACACAGCTCAGTGTCCACCACCCATCCTGCCCTGCAGGTGTTGCCTGATGTGCGGCTGCTGCCTCGAAGGCCACCCCTGGCCTTCCGGGATGCCACCTCAGCCCCCCTGCGCAAGCTCTCTGTGGACCTCATCAAGACCTACAAGCACATCAACGAGGTAGACATTGGGGCTGGGTAGGGTAGAAGGGACCCCCCCAGCTGGCTGCCACCACTGGTCACTCACTGCACTTGCTTGTCTCTTGGCCGACTGGGAAGGTGTACTATGCCAAGAAGAAGCGGCGGGCCCAGCAGGCACCACCCCAGGACCCGAGCACCAAGAAGGAGAAGAAGGTCCTGAACCACGGCTATGACGACGACAACCATGACTATATCGTGCGCAGTGGCGAGCGCTGGCTGGAGCGCTATGAGATCGACTCGCTCATCGGCAAAGGCTCCTTTGGCCAGGTGTGGACAACAAGCCAGGGCCACACTTGGGGACCTTGGTTCTCAGGGCTACTCCATGCAGGGCGCGCTCCCTACCCCGTCACTTTCCTCGTGCTCTAGTTTCTTGTGCGAAATACTGCAAATAATGGGACTTTGCACCTAGGGTGGCTGGGTTGTCTTATGCCCCTTCCACACCTGTGCATGCTTGGTGATGAACACTCAGCTTGGCCACGTAGTGATAGGGCCTGCTGGCCGCAGACACAGAAACCCTGTCCCGCTCTGCCCAGTGCCCACCTGCCCCATGTGCTGACCGCCCTGCTCCAACAGGTGGTGAAAGCCTACGACCACCAGACCCAGGAGCTGGTGGCCATTAAGATCATCAAGAACAAGAAGGCCTTCCTGAACCAGGCGCAGATAGAGCTGCGGCTGCTGGAGCTCATGAACCAGCATGACACGGAGATGAAGTACTACATAGGTGAGGGAGGCATGGGTCCAGGCTGCGCGGCCATGAGCGCCTGCTGAGCACCCATCAGGGGCCAGCCGGCTGCTAGCAGTCCACGCAGACTGGGAGGGAAGGGGGCACCTGGTGACACAGCCTGGAGGTGCCTGCAGAGCCTCTCAGTATCTGCCCATGTCTGTTCTCATTCCCCTTACTGAAAGCAGAGTTGTAAAACTTTCTGCATTTTGAAAGGAAAATGTACCAATCTTTGGCCCCAACACAGTGAGCTGGAAACTGTGTTACAGAGTTAGGGAGGCAGTCTGGAATGCCTTGAAGACTGCCTGTAGCTAAGGAAACTTTCTCTGTGGTTTCCCGGGAAGGTTTGACAGGAGAAGAGATTGAACTTCCGGTGTGAATCCAGTTATAAAAATACCACAATGAGCAGCTGGCTCTGAGGCAGAGGCGTTGCTCCCTGCGCCCCCTCTGAGCCCAGGTCTCTCCTCCCCCGCAGTGCACCTAAAGCGCCACTTCATGTTCCGGAACCACCTGTGCCTGGTGT